CGTAAATCGCGTTGTTGAAGATATCCTACGCAGCGTTTGTGCTGAAACGCCTAAGCGTTGGAGCTCTATGCTCCCTGTAGTTGAGTTTGCACTCAATAATTCCGTGCACGCCTCCACCGGCTACACTCCGTTCTATGTCAATGGTCTCACACACCCACGCGTTCCGTTAACGCTACCACCGAGTGGTTCAGGGCTTGGTGGGGGAGAGGTTGCCGATCGGCTTGCTGATGTCAGCCCTAATACTGTTAAGAAACAGGTAAATGCGTTTCTCGCAACGCGACTGAATGTCTTACGACATGTGCAAGATGCACTGGCTGATAGTCAAGATAAACAAAAGGAATATGCAGATGCGAAAGGCAGAGGTTGTATTAATGATTATGAGGTCGGAGACCAAGTATTACTTAATGCTAAAAACCTACCTACCAATGTAGTATCCGCTGTCTTTAAGACGAAGTTGCGCCCACGATTTATCGGACCCTTTAAGGTCATTGCCAAGAAAGGCACAGCGTATACGCTTAACTTGCCGCGCAAATTGCGTACACATCCTGTGTTCTATGTCGCCATGTTGAAACCTTATCGGGATCCGTCCCAAGTAAACATTAAGGCGCTCGCGCCGAGCCCATTGGCATTGTCGCGGGACGAAGCATCTGCGCCAACATGTCAAGCTGACCCTGCATTCGGGTCCGACTCTCTTCCAGGGACGCAAGCCGGGAGTTCATCGTCTGCCTCTCCTCACGAAGGGTCCGCACCTCCTGAACAAGCTCGGCATGAGCTTGTGCCGATACATCGGCCTCCTCCTCCTTTGCTCGATGCTCAGGGGAACCTGCAGTTCCATGTGGAACGTCTACTGCAGAAGCGGCGCCGCCATGGTCAAAACCAGTATCTGGTAAAATGGCGGGGTTATCCCGAATCATGTAATTCATGGGAGTTTGAGACTCCCCTTCGGCAGGACTGCCCATACGCCGTGGACGTTTTTGAGCGTCGTGCGCAGGGTCTGCCTGTTGGCGCTGACGCTTCTCACCAGTAATGGTGAGGGTAGGCGGGTTAGCGGCCTCGGGCTGTCGTGAACTCGCGGCTACAGGGGTAGCCGAAACATTGGGCTGCTGGGTAGCAGGCGCATAATGCGTTCGTTGGGATTTCAACTTTCCCCGGGCCTTCAATTTAGCGTAATCATAACGCATCTTCCGCTCAAGTCGAACATCTGCCACATCGGCGCTTGCCCGTAGGGCCCACATGCTGCTTAAACGTCGCGCATAATGCGCCCAGCGGCTGAAAGCCGTGTCTTCTTCGTTCTCGGTTTCCCCCGGGAACAGAAGGATGGGAACACCCTTCATCGGAGGAACTGGCGCACCGCGCACTTGCCTATTAAGGCGTGCCAAGTATTGGCTTTGAGTAGTGATATGGGGCTCCAGATATCGTTGTCGAAGTGCCGTGCGTGTGGCAACATCCTCAGGCGAAATGGCCTCAGGCCCAATGGTCCAACCAGAAAGGGAATGCCCAGATGCTTCCTTTAGGCGTTCTTCCACCGTAGGTGGCTTGAACCTGTACTGTCGGTGATCCTTCAGCCGCGTCATGTTCTTCGTTCGGCGCTTGGCGCCTTCCTCTTGGTCGATGGACCGCTGTTGCTGCTCGTCGAGTGGGTTGGTAACCATTACCGTTGATGATACCTCAGGCGGATCACGTAACGCTGTTAGCGCATCTGCTGCACCACGTTCAGGGAACGGATTCGGTGCATGACGAGTGTCATCTTCACCCGTGAGGGTGGCTAAAGGGGACCCATCGGGTCCCACAAAGACGGTGTCACTTTCGTAATCAACCGCTTCTTCAAGGTCGTCCTCAATAAGGTCCCTAAGAGTCTGTGACTCACTGCCGGGAGGCGTCATGTTGTGTGCCGTGAACAAACCGTGAGGTTTTAAACGTTCGCTAAAGCACTACCTCTAAGAGGAAAAATGTCGAGTGACATTCTATGGGAACGTCAGTCTGGTGGGGGAGGGTGTAACGGGGTTACACGACGGTTGTAGCGTCTTTCCGGGAGTTTACGGTTAAACTCCCCTTGTATTGCATGTAATGCATTATGATACTTCTCTTTAGAGAGGTATTAAGTATAAGCGTTAAAGATACGGTATTCGGTAATACCGTATCTTATCGATTAGGATTCGATAATCGATAACGCTGTACTAAGTACATCATACACAGATGTTTAGACGATACGTCGTCCAATAGCAAAGTCTGCATATAATAATTACTATTATAGTAATTAATCTAGTGTAGTGTACTTAGAGTAGGACTATTCATAAAATCTTAAAGCATAAATAAAATCAGTTCTCCTTTTGAGTTTAAGATCACAAGTCGTTCTGACTTGTTCTCTTGTGCACTTCGTGCGTTGGTTCTCTGAACCTCTAAGCTTCTAGCTTGTTCCTGCACCCTGTGCGTTGGTTCTCTGAACCTTAAGCTTATTGCTTGACTGACTAAAGTCTCCCTCCTAGTTCCTTAGAACAGGGTTACTTTCAGTCGTTTAATTAGTTCCTTAGAACTAAGTGGCTTTTAGCCTTAACTCTATTTAGTTCTCTCGAACTAAGAGGCTTCCAGCCGAAAGTCTTCCTCTGGCTAAAGAGCTGTGCAGCTCCGCTACAATGTAAGTGTCAGATGGCATCCGTCTTACCTGCCCATCTCGTTCAGTGGTACCATCTTGAAGCCGTATCGCCTTGTCCAAACTGTCCAGTTGTTGCTTGGCCGTCCCATCTGTCCAGCTGATGCCCTGTCTCTTCCTACCTCATCTGCCACAAAGCTGGCCGATCAGGTGAGACCGTCCCATGTACATTTGAACCCTAAAAAACGGACGACTGACCCACACAGTCCTTTCTAACGTCCACCCGTAGCACTAGCAATGAGTTCGAGCTCTACACCACCGACTCAGCGCACAGCAGGTAGCTGATTTTGCAGCATCAAGTGATTGGCCTCATTAGCAATCCCCTAGTGATGGTCAATCTTCAACAGAAGTCAGTGTAAATGCGTGAACAGGAATGCCCTTTTAAAACGATTTAAGTCTTTTGATCACAAATAGAAGGATAAGACGTAGGATGTGTAAATTGAAATGTATCACAATTTTCAGCTGATGAGCTTTAAGAATATTGGCGTTAGCAACGTGATGAGACTGAATAGATCTTTAATTTAATAGAATGGCACTATTTCTTTTACGTAAAAAAGTTAATATATTTCCTACAGGTAAATTCTATAACCAACTATTTCTTCTTTGGACTCTAAAAGCATTCGAATGCGTCTTTGTCTTTTTTTCTAATCTTGCGGCTGGCGAGGCGATATGTTAATGAACGACTGTGGCAATCGTGGCCAAAGCAGCCAACAGCGTCGGTTGAGGTCCTTTGTCATGCCATTATCTGGATATGAAAGCCCATCTATCTGGTGCGGACCAGATGTCCATTAAGTTAGAAAGTTGTAGGTAGCCAAAACTCAAGGACAGCAAATAATCGCAAGCACTTTATTCGTCAGCAAGAGGCAAACAGCTCTTCAGCAGTGAGGCCATCTCTGTTCTGCATAAGCAGATAGATACATATGTCTACTATCAGCAGCAACAAGCGGCGGATCCGTGCTAACACTGCACGTTGCGTCCTGATCTGCGCGCTGATAAAATTCATAGGCAAGCTCATCCTAACATTCCATAGGCTCAACTGGCCGCGTGACTTCAGTGTGCAGCGATACCCGTTCGAGCGATAGTAGTAAGCCACTTTTCTGGTCATTGACGAAAGCATGGTACTTATTGTGGCGTCTTGCGCAGCTTGAGCTTAAACTCGTCAACGCGTTCTTGGTGTTTGGGGCTCCAAGCAGCTAGCAGCTGGTCTGCTGGCCGCTGGTGACGACAATTTTATGACTCTCTCTTCGTGTCACTTAGGGCGACGCCATTGAACAACGATGTATCAGGCCGACAGAGTTCGAGAGTAAGGCACTGCCAAAACAATGCTGCAACGTGAGGGAGATGAAGAGCACTGGAAGAAGCTGGAGAAGCTCTTAGCCTAATGCTTCGATCCAGTCAGCTACACGTCATCGTTTTTTCAGTAAAAACATGCGTCGAGCGCAAGAACAACACGATAGGCCACAGTTGTCTCCGCAGACATCTTAACAGATTCAAACCCTGGGTCCACGTCGGTGTCTTATCAAAACGCTGACACAAAAGAGTAATGCACGCTGTCGAGCACAATGACGATCCGTTGTATATGTACCACAACTTGCTGCGCATTCAACTCAAGCTACCACGTGCATCCATCACGGGTTCCAAGTCGAGGATATATAGCTTCGACGCTCTGCCGATCGGCTATCCAATTACTTAGCTTGTCTGCTACATGAACACCAGCGACGGGCTGTCACATGGGACACGAATTTTTCTCGCGCTGTTGTGCGGTCATAAATGTCGAGTGTCTGCTGTCGTCGACGTGGTCTGGCGCAAAGACGCGTAGGGGCCACAAGCTTGTGAGGTCATCGGGAAAAACCACTGCTACGATACGCAATACTAGGAACTTGGCACAAAGTCGGCCTCACATGGATATACATACAAAGAGAAAAAGAAGCAGCACGGTCTGCTCGCCCATACAAACCTTGCGACAAATGCGTCTCGACTGATTGTTATGGCAAAACGAACATGAATCGACGCTATGGGCACAAAACACGTCATTTGTTTGCGCCGATCCGCCACTGCTATGTGGTTGCAAGCTCTTTAAACTTATCCCAGCTGCCACTACGACGGGATGTTATTAAGCTGTAAAGGCCATCGATTGATAGAATCAATCTGGAACATCCATCCTTACCTGCTTTTACCATACCTTACCACATGTAAGAGACAGTGTGAATAGACGACCCCACAGCAATACGGCATGGCACGCATTAACGGTCATTATCGTTTTTCAAGTCTTGTGATCAAGCGCAATTGCCTAACCCCCAACGCCAACGCCAACGCCAACGCCAACGCCAACGCCAACGCCAACGCCAACATGCGCTACATCCTATGTTTTCTACTGTATGTGCTGCTGGGCCTTTTCCACGAAAGAAACGGCGTGGCTCTAGCAGCAGTGCTGGACCAAAAGGAGGTATCTGGCAACAGACGGCTACGTGTCCATCCGAGGGCTGATGCCGGTGAGGATTACGTTGACAAAGCTCAACTTCTGGAAGGTGACACGGTCGACGACAGAGAAAGAATGTTTAATGGTCTAACGTTGAAAGATATAGGCCAACACTTCGTGAGAGTGCCAAGGGAATATTTAGATGATCGAAAGGTAAATAAGCTGGTGAGATTCGCTCTTTCACAGGATAATGTGCTTGCGCACAACATAGCACTCCATGAAAAACTTTACCAAAGCAAATTAAAACTTGCAGTATTAAAAAGGAAGTTAAAGCTTCCAAAAGACCTTGATAATATTGAGGGAGATGAGCAGCAGAAAGAAGTAGCGCTATATCACGCATATGCCTATTTTCTACAGCAAAAAGGGGAGCAAATATAGGAAACGGCCTGATAGACATATTAAATAGAATAACAGACTTAGAGGTAGCAACTAAAAAATTGTGAACTAAGGACCTGATTCTAATCACGTTTAATATAAAGATCCTTCTGCAAGACTTCATTTTGAGAGCGGATAGAAAGCAAATCGATTACTGGTTATAAGGTTTTCATCTACCACATCTCGGCGATAGCGACGCTGTCATCACGAGCACAGATTTACGGCTACTCTGTCCCTACGCGTACGAGCCTTCAATAATGACATCATCGATCTTGAGAATCATCCGCACGACTTGCGTAGCAAGCTGCAGCTGCTGCTGCTTGCCGATGAGCGTTTCAAACACCTGCTGCTCCTTCATATTGTTCGTGCCAGACGAGTTGCAGTCGATACCAAGTCGCGGGTTCTTCTCAGCGATTTGCTGCGCACGCACAGCCGAAAGCGAATCAATCGGGCTCAAACCACTGTTCTCAGCCAGAGCCATCGGAACGTCCTCCAAAGCATCGGCAAAGGCACGGATGGCGTACTGTTCGATGCCCGCTGTGTTGTCAGCATGCTCTCGCACAGCGATACCGCATGCAATCTCAGCGGCGCCGCCACCGTACACGATGCGATTGTTTTTAATCAGATTGCGCGTCACGCACATGGCGTCGTGCAGCGAACGCTTGGCTTCCTCCACAATCATCTTATTTCCACCACGCACCAACACTGTGATAGCGTCCGAGCTCGCGCAGTCCTCAATCACCAACATGCGCTCCTTCGTGGTGCCAAACGCGACCTCACGCACGGTACCAGCCCGACCGAGCTTCTCCGCTGTCAACTCTGCAAATCGCGGTACAATACGTCCACCCGTAGCAATAGCAATGAGTTCGAGCTCTACACCACCGACCCAGCGCACAGCAGGTAGGTGATTTTGCAGCAACAAGTGATTGGCCTCATCATCAAACCCCCACTGGCAAATGACCAAGTTAGCCCCACTGTCTTTAACTTGTTTGATCATAGTGGCAAAATACTCTTGTTCCTGTTTGTAAAGCTTTTCGTAAGATTCAACACTCGTAATGTCAAGTTTGTGTTTTGTCTTAGGCTTAGGTGGTTCAAAAGGACACGTGAGGATGCACATCTTGGCATCTTTTACCTCTTTGGGCATCTGTGGATGAGAGAAGTCCTTGTCGATGACAATCCCATTAATGAGGGCCGTATCACTCAGCGTTCCACCAGCTTTTCCCTCCATCTTAATGAGATCAAAGTTCACGTCCCTTGTCTCAAAATTAGCCACCTTCATAACTGCTTCAACTGCAATCTGCGCCATCTGGCGCTTATGCTTGTTAACAATTTTGGAGGACAATGTGGTCATGGCTGTCTCGACCAATGGCGTCGAGTCGTGCTCCGTGAAGTGAATAACGTCACCAATAGCCTCTAAATGCTTACAGGCGATCTCACAGGCTTCTTCAAAGCCATCAGCAATGCGCATAGGGTGCAGACCATGGGCCAATAGCTTTTCTGCTTGCTCCAGTAGCGCACCAGCCAGTACTACAACACCTGTTGTACCGTCTCCAATCTCGTCGTCCTGTGACTTGCTCAACTCTACAAGGAGGTGGGCCACACGATGTTCAACTTGCATTTGTTCCAGAATAGTGGCCCCATCATTCGAAATAGTGACATCGCCGTCTTGACTGACCATCATTTTGTCCATGCCACGCGGGCCGAGCGACGTACGGAGAAGATTTGAGACCGTACGTGCCGCTAGGATATTGCTTTTAATAGCTTCAACGCCCTTGATACGTTCCTTCTGCTCCTGGTCACGCAGGATGATAAAGGGGCGACCGTATTCATCAAAAACCATCGACATGGTGGACAGCTAGCTGGGTTATCAACGATTAGATACAAAAAGGAGCGACGAGTGGTTTTTGTGATGTGGTTTCCATCACTTTACGTCGATTTTTTACGATACGAATACAAATGACGTAATTACAGCGATGCGAAGGGGCTTTCATAGTCCTAGCTTAACTGATACCCTGTCTAAGCTGCTAAAAACCTGAGTCCCGAGGACCTCCATATAATTGGTGTGGAACTGGCTTACCTGATAGCTTCCATTATCTGATAGAATTGCTTGATTGAAAGTGTATCAGTATAGACAGGTTCTACTATATATACGTATTCTTCGTTGCCACGCTTAATGCCCTTTAAATTCAGTATTTCATATCTCATAAGTATGCAATACTTAAATACTTAATGGCATGTGCATCTATTAATTATCACCATCACCACGTTGTCCTATTATGTTGCTGGTCACGGACATCAATTATTTTGTTGGTCACGGACATCCAACAAAGCTCGCTATTCGAGTTGCATAGTAATTAACAAATTAAATTGCATTGCAAAAACCTTGCTTAAGTAGACTCGAGTGATACGACGAATTAATCCTATGGGTCAAAGCCTTCCCAATACTACATAAAATCAGTTGATCTACTTGTTAGCACGAAGATGCTTGGACGGATCACTGATCTCCATCGATCGCTTTCGCATCTTCGATGTTTGATTCAATGGCGCCAGATCGTGGTGCACTGACAGGTTCTTGGCCAAAAGGAAAGCCACCTCCATGCTTTGCGAGTAGTTCAATCGTGGATCACAGTAGCTCGTATAGCGTAGCGGCAAATCGGTCTCGTCGATGCCCTGGGGGCCACCAATGCATTCAGTTACGTTCTCACCTGTTAGTTCGAAATGGACTCCACCCAGTACAGTGCCACCCTCACGGTGGATCTTTAGCGTCTGCACCAATTCGGCAAAAATGCGATCAAATGGCCGTGTTTTATAGCCATTATCAGCAACAATTGTGTTGCCGTGGCACGGATCACAAGACCAAATCACCTTCAGGCCTGCAGCCTTTACCGCTGCAATGTGCTTGGGCAGCAGATGTGATACCTTGTCACTACCATAACGCGTGATAAGCGTGATCTTGCCCGGATTGGCTTCGGGATTTTTCCACAATTTACGAATCAAGGGCACCAGATCATTCACAGCCATAGTCGGGCCAACCTTAATACCAATAGGATTTTCAATGCCACGGAAGTACTCGATATGAGCGTGGTCCAATTGACGTGTGCGGTCACCAATCCACAAAAAGTCCGTACCCATGTTGTAGTACTTGCCGTTCACCTTGCGCGTCATAGTCTCTTCGTAACCAAGCTCCAAGCCTTCGTGCGACACAAAGAGATCCACCGTTTTCAAATGAGGTGATTCCGCTCCAACACCGCACATGTGCACAAAATGTAAACTGTCCGTAATCTCGTCCACCATGTGCTGGTACTCTTCTCGTCGAGAAGACGTCTGCACAAAATCGAGATCCCACTTGCCTGCATCGTGGATGTCCGCAAAGCCCGATCCCACCAACACCCGACCATAATTCAGCGTTGCAGCACTATGGAAATATCCTTCCAGTAATCTGCTTGGGTCCGGAGTGCGCTGGTCCTTCTCGTAGCCATTGATATTCTCGCCTCGGAAGCTGGTCACTTTCTCTCCATCCAGCATCTCCGTGTCACTGGACCGCGGCTTGGCAAACTGTCCAGCCATTCGAGCCACACGAACCGTCGGCATCCGAGCGCCCCACACCAGCACGAGACTCATCTGGATCATAATTTTGAGCTTCTTCTCAATCAGCTCCGGCTGGCAGTCCTGGAATCGCTCCGAGCAGTCACCACCTTGCAACAAGAAGCGTTTGCCATCTGCGACATCCGCCAGCAGCGTCTTCAAATTTTCAATTTCACGCACCGACACCAATCCAGGCAATGTCTTTACTGTAAAGAAATCGACATTGCAACAACGTTAGAGATTTAAAAGTCATTGATACCTTCTAGTACAAGCTCAAAAAAATTAGAATTGTACGCTTGTCATGGGCTTGTTTTAGTGCTTTTTCATCCGGATACGAAGCTTGCTGTTTCGCGGGAAATTGACGCCACGAAGAAGGCGTCCAATCTAAACTTTGCGAAATTGTCATAGCTCCTGATGGCGGTGACCTTAAATGAATGGTGACCAGAGACTGACTTTTTTGTTGGGGTGTACGGTGTGGTGTATACCACATCAGTACAACGTAGATACAAAATATCAGTATAAAATAATTGACGATAGTTCCAAGAAATACAGTATGGGCACGTCTCGTTTCCAGCGACCTTCTAAGCCAAGAGGAGATTCGTTAGTGGTTGTAAATCAATCAATGTTATACTCTACAGCTCCTAGAAGTCAGAAACGGCAACAGAGTGGAAAGAAAAAGAATAACGAGAAGCTACAGAAGCTACAGAAACGCAAGATAGACAAGGACGGAACTAGTGGAGCTAAAGGAACACACAAGAAGCGGAAGAAGCAGCAAGTAAAGACCCCTATCATCAGTAATGTGACAATATCAAGTGCAGCCAAGTTGACGCGTGAAGAAGGTGGTGGCACGTCCTGTTCTGTGCTCCGAGTCAAGAAAGACGCCGATGTGCTGGCTGGACTCTATTGGATCTTACTTGCTCGCAATACTCTACGCCCTTGTGTAGTGACTCTGCCTAATCATGACGAGACGTCTCCATCTCAATTATCTACGATGTTCAAGCATCTTGGGCTCCAAGCAGTGGCGTTGCATCACAAGATGACGACAGGTCAGCGGACTGAAACGGTGCAGAGACTCAAAACTTCCGTCCTGGGGTCACATGCTCTCGTTCTTGTGACTACAGAGCACATGCTGCCAAGTGCTGTGTATGCTAAGGCTGATGTGGTGTTGGCTGGAGCTGTGAGTGCTGCGTCGACTGAAGTGGCGACGGCAAAGTTTGCTCATGTACATCAAGTGACAGTTGGGACTGAAAACAAGCAGCAGAACACGAGTAACTTTCGCCCTGAGTTGTTGACTCCTTGCTTGCAGCAACTGCAGACGCGGATGAAGCTGGCACGGCAGATTGTGGACATCGCGCAACGTGTTGGCAAGACTGGAGCTGCTGTCCAGGATGAGGACGACAAGTGGGCTCGGAAATTGGCGAAAGGAGCTGATCTCGATGATGATGGCGATGATGAAGGACAGAAGAAAAAGCGTAAACGTACGATGACCCCGGATGAGCAGAGGCTGCAGGCATTAGTGGCAAAGCTTTACGTGGTACTGACGCGTAAGCTGCCAGGAATCGAAGCGAATGATGCTGTTAGCGCGTCATTTGTCGGAGAGCAGAAAGCTGATAGTCAGCACCGTCGCGAGAAGCTAGAGGTGCTAGGTCTTGTCACAATGAATGCTGCCGTGGGTACGGCCATGACGGATGAACGCACATCTGCTCAGACGCGATGGATGGATTTTGCCGAGGGTAAAGCACACGGTGGTCAATGGGACGGACCTGTGCGTCATGGTGCATCGAAGGATGATACTTCACTTGCGCTTCGCGAGAGGTTCTGTGCTGCAAGAGGCATGGCGAACGACTCGAGCTACTTGAGCAAATGGGCGCCTAACAAAGGGCCTATCGACAATGAAAAATGGGGTGGCATGTTCGGTAAGGTTTGCGGACACAACGAAGTGGTTATGAACGATCTGCGGGCCTTTTATCCGCAAGAGGTAATAAATTCGAAGGTCTGCAGCAAAGTCTTTCCAGCTCCAGGAAACCAGGGCTTTGACGGCTGTCTAGAGCACTTGCGGTTTGCCTGCTTGGCTCAAAATACGAGCATGACTCTATGGGACGCTGAGTACTTCATTTTTATTTCAACGCGCGGACGCGTGACATGGTCCAAGAAGAGTCAGCTGCTTTCACTCTCACTGGCGAGTCTGCAGTGTCTCGTCCCTGCACTTCGTAGCTGGACAGCGGCAAGTGTCGGTCACTTGCCACCCAATGCAGTCCTTCGTGCGATCCAACTATGTAGCCAACTTGGCTGCGGCGACAAACGTGGCAAGCTGCCCCCTAAGGCGTTCAAACTTATCGTGAGCTTTGCGTTTGGTGGATCAGCTCGACTATGGCGACAAATTGCGAGGGTCTCGACACCCCTAAAAGAGGAAAATGTATATAATCCCCTGTAGATAGATGGAAGGCTTATACAGTACATTTAACAATAGCGTGTCATTACGTAGCACCACAAAAGAATAGACGAGAGAGCGACTTATTTACTTACTTGCGTTGCATGCCGTCCAAACTCGCACGGATGGCTGACTGGCTATCTATGGTCGCTTCCTCATCTTCGTTGCAATTTCTGGAGGCTGTTTAGCCTGATCTTCTGTGTCGATATCCCTTTCCGTTTGCATCACTTTTGCACATTTTGCATCTCCACCATACAGCAATGCCTGGTTATCACTGTCTCCGCTAGATGTCTGCTCACACCGAAAGTCAACCTTATTGCCATTGCTGCGTTCATTGCAAATCTTGTGGTTTCCACTCACACGCGTCATATGCTTTTGCAACACTAACTTTTCCTGCACGGGATCGAATACGAGCCAGTCATCAGGCCGTAAGATCGTTCGATTAGCATATTGTATCTTCAATTGTACCAACTTGGCCAATGCTTTATGACACGCTTCGTCATCCATAGGAACCAACGGGATGTCATCAAAGTATTTATCCTTATCATCCCCGTCTCTATCTTCATTTTCTGACAGCAATTCAGGCACATCAGGCTCTGAAATTCCAAAAGGCAGACTTCGTAGCATACAAAAACCTTGTTAATAACGGGCGAATTTGACCAAAAAATTGAGCTCAATAGTCCACTTACTATGTTGAAACAATCTCACAAATTTGATGATAGAGCCACCGACCTGAGAGTAGATCCACCAGTAGTGGCCACCCTCGGTTCAAAAGTCCCCAATACTTAGCAGCATAGACGATAAGATATGTACCTAAAAGACACAGTGTCGGTACATATATACGCACTAGTGGCAGTCGTGTGGAATGCACTAGTATTTCATCCAATAGCTTCTCGTGGAATGACAACTGTGGGTACATTTCGCACATGTCGAAAGTCTTGTAATAAGCGTCACCCAATAGATGTATGAATACGCCAATACCCGCTACGAAATACACAGTAAACCATAGAGTTGTATTGAAATAGCTCATTGTATTGGAAATAGAATCCAATGCGCAAGAGACAGAGAAATGCAAGGAATAGAGCGCGTCGAGATATCGTTGGCACTTTTGCTTTGAGATGAAGTGACACCTTTATATGGTAATTGCTCATGCTTTAACTTGATTGGTTATAAATAATCTTTAAAAAAAAGCTTGGCAGAATCTTAAAACTGATAAAACAACAGCGAGAAGTTGGTTTAAACGCGTTTACACACTGCTAAGTTCGCACGGTGGTCGCCTGGAATGCATCATTCTTTAATTGCTTACACCCGGTATCAGATCTGTATTGCGTCTTTCTTGTTACCAAAATGGCGAACCTCCGCTGCCTCGATTAGACGATCTTTTAGTATGCAAGAAGACGTCACTTTTTTCTTATTGCTCTATTCAGGTGCTTTCAAAGTTTCCGCGTCGGCTTTTATTAATCAGATAGTAGGCCTACCTATTCTTGAGCTTCATTCGAGCATCATTCAGACGTAAATAGCTTTTTTGATGCACGTTATATGAGCACCTTACTCTACCTAGTCGACCTCTATTGGCAGCTCTTGTAGAATAAACAAGCTACGCGTGCCACGATCTTGTACGTGATTGCCGGCGACATAAGTCTCATGTATTTATGGAGAAATGACTACCGCAGAGGCATTGGATGATGCTGAGGACGAGAAGGCGCTCAAAAAACGGCTATGCATCGTCAAGAAGCTGAGATGGAGCGGCGTAGATGTATCTATTTGACATTTTGACCAATCAGATTTCGATACATTGGAAAATGAGAGGTTGTAATGGTACTTGAGAACAATTTTCTTCGCAAAATATCATTTTGTGCGACGATCGGGTTTTGGTCGTACATGCTTGGTCGTCCAAATTACTATGATTTATACAAGCTTCTAGCTTGATCAAAATGTGCATGAATTTTTGGTGCGGACATCATTGTTTTTGACAAATCCAAGATCTCTTTATTAAATATAAACCAATCCTAACACGCCGTGTGGATTCTTTGGTGGGTACACTTTCAACAAGCATAAGCGACGGCATTGATCCGATCATTCCTGATTTTACTTCGACTTCCTCAAGTTCCACCCACGCAGATACAATGGCTGACCAGTTAACTGAAGAGCAGATTGCCGAGTTTAAGGAGGCATTCTCCCTGTTTGACAAGGACGGCGATGGAACCATCACGACGAAAGAACTTGGCACGGTCATGCGCTCTCTGGGCCAGAACCCGACCGAGGCGGAGCTACAAGACATGATCAATGAGGTGGACGCAGACGGTAATGGCACGATTGACTTCCCAGAGTTCCTGACGATGATGGCTCGTAAGATGAAGGACACGGACTCGGAAGAGGAGATTTTGGAAGCGTTCAAAGTGTTTGACAAGGACGGCAATGGATTTATCTCGGCCGCTGAACTGCGCCACATTATGACCAATTTGGGGGAGAAACTTACGGACGAGGAGGTCGACGAGATGATTCGTGAAGCCGATATTGACGGCGATGGACAGATCAATTACGAAGAGTTTGTCAAGATGATGATGTCGAAGTAAGAGAAAAGTGTACGACTTTTGATGTGCGGACAAAAATACTTCGACCCTTTTTACCCAATCAATGCTACTACAATAATTTAGAAACAGCAAATTACGTGGCTCCTACTCGTGTTTCAATTTCTGTTGATCTAAATTATGGCACAAAAAGCAGTCTATAAAAACTCCCCAAAATAACCTAGTAACGCCTAATTTAACCAGTGCATGTGCTAGCGTTCAAACAGTAGAGACTTTACCACGTGGCGGACCTTTCCGAAACGATATCGTCCGCGACCTTTGGCGCAACAATTGAAGCTGGCGGCTATGATTTATCAGAAAGTGGGCAACTTAGCTTACTTGTCTCACCACTGGCAGCGCAGGCGGCGATAGTCTTACTGCTTTTTTCTATATAGTTGGTCCAGTCTCTTGTTCATCTTGTCCCGTGTTAAAGAATAGCCGAGCCGTTTCATAAAGGGTTGTGGTAACCAATGTTCTATTTCAAAAAAAAAAGACCAGTTCGTAAAGATCCAGACTGACCTTCGATATCGAATGAAATGATGACGCTGTCTTCAACATCGTCCAAAATTCCAAAATTTTGAAAATCGCAACGAGATCTCCTCCCTCACCTCATTTGAATCTTAGAGCTTTATTGCCCACGTCTTTATTGTCTCTTTCTCTCTCTCTCTCTCTCTCTCTCTTTTATCATGGATTATCGTCAGCTGCAATCTCAACCAGGGAACGCACGTCTTAACGGCAGTAATCGCGCTGCCTGGAACGCCATGGATCTTGAAATTGGGGCTCAAATCCCGCCGTCGAATGCACGTAACAATACTGAAGATTGCGGTGCATTATCTGCTCGGAATGTATTGCTACGTCAAAAATTACGTGAACGCAAGCGCTACGACTCGGCTGATGACGCCATGAAGAAAGCCGCAGCACGTGCGACGAGTCGGTATCAGAAGATTCCCGAACCGACTCTGATTCCATCCAGAGAACGGCCATATTCCCCAGCACAAATGGGCCAATCAGCTTTCTTTAATGCGATGAACGGTGGGACCGGTACAAAAAACGTACCGACTAGAAGGAATGACCGACTAGAAGGAGGAGCACTACAAGCTCGAAATGTACTGATTCAACACAAATTACAAACTAAAATGTCCAAAGACGATACGGACATGGCGGATGGAAATCATGTCGAAGGAGCTAGAGAAGAAGCTGTGAGTTCACCTTGTGCGTCCTTTACAGGGACAGGCAATCGACGATTACAATTTGCAAGTATGAGTCCCAGTCGTGCTGGAAAATATGGGGCTTTGGAGAATAAAAAGAAACCCAATCGACGGGATTTACTCGAGCAACAAGACAAGAATTCGATTGTTGCTATTGGGGCTGATGAAAAGATACAGCAGAGAGTGGGAGGATCGGACTATGGAAAACTTTCAGCAGCTCATGTGCTTATTCGACGCAAATTAAAGGAGAGAAAACGGTTTGATTCAGCAGATTATGCAATGGAGAAACAAGGTCAACAGACAGATGTTCCTGCTGAGATTGCAGCTAATCCTGCCGCACCAGGTACAGCAGCTTTACGTTACAGCACCATTGGGACTTCACAAGCGACAATTAATCACCAAGTGAAACATATTAAACTTTCTGAATCTTTGAACGGACGTGTCGCGTCTCCAGCAGTTGTTAATGCAGCTCAAGCTGCCTTGGCAGCGCGTGCAGCTCGCTATGCAGGACTGAAGAATGGAAATACAATGACGGACACGAAAAACATTCCGTCTCAAGGAGCACTCGATCGATATGGTCTTGACAAGAGTGTGACGCCTTTAGGTGCAGCTGCTGCACGTAATTTGGTGCTCCAACGCAAGCTTGCGGAGCGTAAAATGTTCGACTCGGCTGATCACTTCAAGGAGGCCACTTGAATGCACTGTGCCATATCTCATATCGCTTTCCAGTGAAAAGGTTGAGCGGAAGATAAACAGTATGTGATGTTTGATATCCGTCATGATCAGCTACGCAGAGCACAAGTACAAGGCAGAAGTATGTGGTCCCAAAGATGGTTGTTTGACTTCACAACAATTCACTAAAGCGGCTATTTAGTAAAAACTGACATTGAATACGACACCACTGCTAAACAACGAGCTTGTATGTGTTTGGATTCCAATGAACATTGCGCCTTGCTTGCAGTCGTTAGTAGACGTCGACCTTCTCTGATCAATCGAAAACCTCGCTGAAATTTACGCAGACTCTTTTTTCAGCAGCTTTGTGCGAGAATGACGACGATGACTTAATCACAGCAGTCGAAGAGCAAGAGTGGAGTACAGCTGAGGTGAAAGTGGCGACATGTCGTTCTTGACACTGGCACATCAATGACTACAACAAACGAGCAAGGAAATCCGTCTTTCACTTTGCTACGAACTCGACAAAACAAAAGTTTGCTCTCACGCCACGCTTCAATCCATTTGTCAACAACTGCAGCTTTGATACCATCTCAATCTGAGCCAGAAAGCGTCGAACTAAAAAGCAAAAATCTTGTAGCAAAAACAACTCAGGCACAAAGACAGCATATTCAACGTCACTTGACATTACCACCAGCCAAATCAATGGAGACCGCAGAGGCTTAGATCGGAATTGAGACCACCATGAATTTCCTTGTTTTTGAGTTTCGTGCGTCGAGTGAGGAACGCATCAAAGCCGTCCATTTTCTGCAAGTCCTCCTTAGTCATGGGATTACCTTCCAGATTCATTACTTGGACAGCAGAGTCCTCTCCAAGCAGATCAGCAGCAATAGACTGTACCTTTGCACCTGCTGATTGACCGACCAGTGTATTCCTACGTGCTGATAACATCTTGAGCTTGACACATCTTGCCAAAGCAGCTGGTAGCTCTGTCAAGTTGTTGCCGTCCAGAATAAGCTCCTGCAGCTCGTGCATCTCCCCCAAATGTGCTGGTAAACTCTCCAACCTATTCTCCGATAAATCTAGTTCTTGTAATTGCGTCAGTGCGAGCACACTGCAAGGAACAGTCGATAATCTGTTGTTTTTCACTGACAGCTTGATCAAATTGGGTGGTAGCACGTTCGGAATGTCCTCGAGCACATTGCCATCAAGCACTAGCTAAGAATTTTTTCACACAATATATTTCATGTGTCAATAATAATAATTATTGTCATATTCTATAAAATAATAAACGTACGAAATAATATCAACAATAATTAGTGTATACAATTGCGAATCTCGTACCGTCGTGAGCCCTGTGAGCGCCGACAAGTCCGGCAGTGTCTCCAAAATATTAGACGACACCTTGAGCGTCTTTAGCTTCTTAAGTACGTTCAATTGCGACGGCAAGTGACTCAAGTGATTACCAGTGAGGTCCAATATCCGCAGCATTGACAATTCCAATACTTCTTCTGGTAGCTTTTTCAGCTTACTATTGGGCAACGCCAGCACACCCGTCATCTTTGCTGTTTTCATCTTCTGTTGCTGAATGCTACGGTTGTTTTTTGGCTTGCTCTTGGCCTGAGCGTGGGCTTCACGTGCCTTCGTCGCCGTGTTCCCCATGACTCAATTAGGTATCCACAAAAATGAGACCAATTGGCGAAAAATTATGGGAATCAAAGTACTGTCAGGACCCAAAATATAAAACGCGTTTCGATTGGTTAAAACTCGACACGACGTCGTCTCCAGTGAGAAGCACAATGATCAGCAGCGAGTCAAGTGACGAGGAGCTCACGACGCTGTATCAAGCCGCTGTAGCTGCCATTAAACCCGTCCGGAAGATTAAAATGACCAAGAATGAAACAACGGATACTCTCGCTCCGTCCCTCGATGAATTTACAGGTCAAAAACGCTCTCTAGAAGCTTCTACAGCTATTTTAAATCCAGACGAAGCCCAGAAACTCAAGCGAGAAGCTCGTAAGAAGCGTAAAGCTCAAGAAAAAGTGTCTCGGGAAGCGGAAAAGAAGCAGAAAAAACACGAGCAATTGCTTAAGGAACGAGCAAGGAAGGGACGAGCTTATACGCTCAGTCTTGCAATTCCTGGCTCGATTTTGGACAATGCACAGACAAAGGAGTTGAAGACGTACTTGGCTGGTCAAGTAGCTCGTGCTGCAGTGATTTTTCAAGTGGATGAGGTTATTGTCTTTGATGATCAATTGGGTGATAATGTGAGCACGGGGGCAGTCAAGAAACGGGCCCATGACTGTCATGTCTTTATGGCGCGCATTTTGCAGTATCTGGAGACGCCACAGTATTTAAGACGTGCATTGTTCCCAATGCACTCGGACTTGAGCTGTGCAGGGTTATTAAATCCATTGGATTGTCCACATCACTTGCGTGCACAAGAGTGGAGTGTGTACCGTGAAGGTGTGGTTACGGACCGACCACTGAAGGAGAAAGAAGGCTCGCATGTCTATGTCGGATTGCAGCGTGAAGTTGTGGTGGATAAACGTATTACACCTGGCGTTCGGGTGACTGTAAAGATTGATGAGGCTTCTAAAGAGTTTAAGAAGAAAAGTACGTACTACTGGATGCACAATTTCATGCTGTCCAGAGGCTAACATTGTGTGTTTGTACAGTGGTCGGTCAGCTTGTGTCGTCTGCTGAACCGCGAGAACAGCTTGGTTTGTACTGGGGCTATACAACACGATTTGCGTCTTCGTTGAGCGACGTTTGGACCACCTGTCCCTTTCCGGAAGGGTACGATCTCAAGATAGGCACATCCGAGCGTGGTAATGTATCGATCGATGACGCAGACTTCTCCATGCCGAAATTTCGACACGCACTTATTGTCTTTGGCGGTGTGGCTGGTATTGAGGAGTGTGTGGACGCTGACGAGAAGCTTCCTGTAAGCGGTGAAGACTCGCACACGCTATTTGACATGTGGGTAAACACGTGTCCTGAGCAGGGAAGTCGCACCATTCGTTCAGAGGAAGCTTTGCTGATCTCCCTTGCTGCCCTTCGGCCGCACGTCATTCGTGGTGGACGAGCACAATAGATGATAATTCTCCACGGTCGATTAGCAGAAATAATACAAGTGCGATTCTTGCCACAGTAGCACAACTCCTTGCACACAGGGCAATCACTATTGAAGATGCAATCGCCATGCTTTTCAAGAGTATCAATGGCTGTGTCGGCATGCTCGTCATATAAATTGCACAACATGATGTTCTTCACAGCAGCAAAGGACAAACACTTGAACAAAAAGTTCGGCTGTTTTACTCGGTAAAGAATGTCGATGAGACGTTCTCCCAAAGCGTGATACCTACTACATTTTACTTCTGTTGGTGGCAAAGACGCTTAATGGTTGGGACGTACCCGGAATGAAGCGAGGTAACGATTCTTTTAAAGCAAATTGTTGTGATATTTCCTCTATAAGTCAATTGTCCGACGTGAACTATAGGTAACGCTACCTTGAGGGTGACGCATATCGCGTGTTTGAAAGAACTCGGACTTGTCCGTATCAAGAAAAAGGAATTGCCAAATACAAGGGTCTTTTGCAGTCAAAAGGAGTTTGAAGTCCCATAGCTGGGTACTGTAAATTGATGTGCCGTTTATTGTGCACAAGAAACGAGGATGCCTGCATCCAATTTAGATTCTCCACGAAATATTGAGATCTCGTAAATGGCATCGCCAGCTCTAGACTTACGGATGAATAGATTTCTCTTGCTGCGAGACCGAGCAAAAGCGACGACCAAGTTGAAAGATTTCATGATGGGAAGGTAGTTGAGTTGATGTAGCAAATTGGAAAATGAAGAGCCTTGTAGCTAGAACAGTTTTTTGCTCGATGGTGGCGATTATCCTCCGTCAATTTAGTCGGTAAGAGCGCAGTCTAGTGAATTGATTGCGAGATACACAAACTTGTCGGTGTTAATGCGCAAGAATACTTTATACAAAAGATCATTGTACGTTTGGAGCACAATCAATGTCAGTTATGCTTCCTGAATGTGTCGCAGTGATCAACCAATTAAGTTACTCCAAGGAGCTGTTTGAAAAGAGTGCAACCTTGCATAGTGTTAAATGCACTTCTTTAGCACCATGGAACTCGTAACAAGTATTTTGCGGTGTAGCTATTACCCTTTCATAGATATTGGTAACGTGCTGCCTAACATGACGCTTACCAGCACTGGAAAGGGTCTTCCTACTGTCAAAGTTTGACATTATAACCAGGATTTGAGGAAAATGTGTGACACAATGGTAGAACTCGGCCTAGCATGTACACGACAATGAGGCGTCGATGGAGTTCATCCGACTTGTAGTATAGTTGTGTGGAGTATTATGCAAAGAAACAAGTCCTACTCAAGAATGGGTACAAATGTCCCTTTTTCAGATGTTTACGTAAACTCGTTGATTACTGAATGGACGTTCGTCATTTATATTATTTCTGTAGCCATGCTTTGTGTACCACTGTTTTGGTACATCTTATTTTATGTGTCAATTGGGTCACACGAACGATACACTTACCACACATGGAGGAGACACTACGGCTGCAGTTTGGTACGGCTGCAACAACAATTGGTACGCAATGGTTAGCATTGCAAGAGTCCAATGGAGTTAGAAAGATGCCGCACGTGTTGTCATTTGAGGCCAAAGGTCGTGTCCAAAGACCAAATCGAGCAGCTTCGAAGCAGCGAGAAGGCCATACGACGTGGTAGGACCAATTAAAGTCATTACCATTATGGGTACATAATAGCTTGTGTTTTGCTAATTACATTGTTGTAAATTATATTTGACCAATCAGGGATGAAGGTGTACAAGTTTATAACCAATCGGGAGCTGAGCCAATAGTTAATGATGGACTCTGGAGCTGGGGAAGACTTGAGGAGCATAACCTCGTGGAAGTGGATGAATTTCGTCAACACATGCTTTTGCATAATTTCTATGAAGGTCATGCAGTTTCTAATGGAGGAAATATTGGCAACGCAACGTTAGAAAAGGCAGAAGATCGTGTGCGGACGGTGTTGGAGGCTTGTGACCAGTTGAAAATGGTGCAGGGTCTTGTAGATATGAACTCATCGTGGGGAGGTCTGGCTCATGAGATCATGACGTACGTTGCAGAAGAGTGTCCGGGTGTATTGACTGTGATTGTGGGCAACGATTGGAGCTATCCGATGGTCACTGACGACAATGATTCACTCTTTCGAGCTGCACCGATTGTGCGAGACCGAACGAAGGTTGAGGCGAGAAAGCGCGTGAACGTGGCATCGTCTATGGCATTGATGTCTGAAGTATCACATCTGATGGTACCTGTAGCAATGACGTCAAGTTCCTTGCCAAGTACAAGATTTACGCAGCTCAGTTTCGACCGATCGAGCTGTGCTGACGTTGGAACTATTGTCGCTACGGCATTGGAGCAGTCGATATCAATCCACCGAGGCCGATCTGTGTATGAGATAATGGAAGGGTTTCACCCCAGCATGAAAGTTGTAGAGGTGTGTGCATCGTTCCCGCACACGACTGATCCAACAACACTGCTTCAGAGTATCAGTGATGACGTCACCAATGAAGTGCGTTGCAACGAATCGATGAAAGAAGATCCGTTTGATAGCTGTTCACTCCTTCCTTCCATTCAACAGCGTTCTGGACATCCAGTGCACGAAGACAACACCAACAAGACGTACTACCGACGTCTCCACTTCCGCGGCGCATTTACGGGCTATCCGTCTCTACGCTCCACCGTCGACACTTATCGTATTTCAACCCGCGACATTGCATTACATTGGTCCGACACTTCACCTCTCACGCTGCCGTCAACATATCGTCTCGAGATGATGCAAAACTCGTCTGTCGATGCGATTTCTCAACTCGTACTTTCCAGTCGAACAGGAATCTGGATGCGTACAATTGCCCAACTTGCAGCCAAGAGTGACAAGCGTACGTTGTTTGAGTTTACACGTGCTGGAATGAATCCTGATGCTCTCAAAGAATTAGAAGCGACATTAGCAGGGATGGGCGATGCGTACTTTACTTAATAAGGCAGGCGGCATACGAAGCAGCAACATGGGTACAGAAGGTGTATCCACAATCCAAAAATCCCCTTTCTTAAATAGCGTCTAATCGCACTTTGTACGCGTATGTATACTTAATAATATCTGACAGGCAATGTAATTAAGTTTTAGAAGAGCTAAAATAGAGGCTCAAAACCAAAGGGGAAGAGTATGCGTAGCTCATGTATCTTGGACAAGTCACTGGTTGTGGCGTTGGCTGTGGCCACGTTATCGGCCTCAATCGATAGTTTTTCACTGCCAGGTGTACAAATGACAACGTACACCAAGGGTGAGACACTGCCTCTCTTTGTCAATAGTCTCAAGTCATCCGAAACTTTGCTACCTCTTGATTACTATAAGTTGCCATTTTGTCAGGTAAAGTAGAAAAATGGATACTTTTTCATGTAGGGTTAGGTACGTTTTGAATACATACTTTCAAATTTCGTTTCTAATTCAAGTTTCTATTTAACATGTAGCCGGATAAAATTGAGTACAAATCAGAGAATTTGGGCGAGTATTTGACGGCAAATCGCATTCAAAATTCGCCGTACGAGATCAAGTTTCTGGAAAATCAAGAGTGTGCAGTGCTATGTAAACAAGAGTATGGAGAAGAGGATATTAAGGTGTGGGGGGACAAGATCAAAGACTCGTACACGATCAATTGGATCCTGGACAATCTCCCGGCCACGTCCGTGTCGCTGGATGGTGGTATGATGGTGGGCTTTCCATTGGGAAGCTTTAATCCGGAAGTGGACGTGATACCGCAGCTTCATAATCACGTGAAGATCCTCATTGGCTACAACAATAACCCGTTGGGCACTGAGGATTTTTCAGAGGACAAAGGTCGCATCGTGGACTTTAGGGTCATTCCATACAGTTTTGAGTATGCAGCCCACCAGATTGACGAGAAAACCAATCGGATGAAGACGTGCGAGCATGCGTCTGACCTCAAAAACCACTTGTACGTGCACCAGAACAAAGACGGCAAAATGCCTGTAATCTGGACCTATAGTGTGGAATGGTTATTGGACAATGAACACGACTGGCGCACGCGGTGGGACGTCTATTTTAACACTGGGTCGGGTGGCAATGACGTGCACTGGTTCTCCATCATTAATGCTCTTGTCATCGTGCTCTTCCTCAGTGGAATGGTGGGCATGATTCTCATGCGCAGCCTTCATCGTGACATCAGTCGCTACAACCGTGTGCCAACAGAGGAAGAGCGTGCTGAGGAACGAGAAGAATCTGGCTGGAAGCTTGTGCACGCTGATGTGTTCCGTCCACCGTCGAAGCACCCTATGCTCTTTTGTGTTATGGTGGGCACGGGCTGCCAGCTGCTTGGCATGGCGCTCGTTACGCTCTCCTTCGCTGCCGTGGGTGTTTTGGCACCTTCGAACCGTGGTAAGCTCGTGATTGCACTGCTGGTGTGCTTTGTGTTGCTGGGAATGCTGGCGGGTTTCACCTCGGCTCGGACGTACAAAATGTTCAAGGGCAAGCGCTGGCAGATGTGTACAGTGCTTACGGCTATGCTATTTCCGGGTATCATGTTCTCGCTCTTCTTCTTGCTGAACCTTTTCGTGTGGGGCGCTGGTTCGGACGCCGCTGTGCCATTCGGCTCTATTCTACTGGTCTTTTTCCTCTGGACTGGCATTTCCGTACCGCTTGTGTTCGCAGGAGCTTACTTTGGCTTTAGGTAAGTTGCCTTGCTTTGTTTGAAACATGTTGAGCGATGACAGGGTTGCTAACGGTGCTGATCAATTATTGTGCTGGTACAGGATGGCACCTGCTACGTTTCCCGTGGCAACGAGCAACATCCCTCGTCCTATACCTCCTCAGCCGTGGTACATGACACACATGATGGGAGCAGCGGTGGGTGGCGTGCTCCCATTCGGTGCGATCTTCGTAGAGCTTTTCTTCGTACTGTCATCTCTCTGGACGGACAAATACTACTACGTATTTGGCTTCCTGCTGCTGGCTTTCCTTATCCTTATCAACACGTGCGCCGTGGTCACCATTGTGCTCACTTACTTCCAGCTGCTTGCCGAAGATTACAATTGGTACGTTTAAACTGGTTTAAGTAGTACTGACTCGGTGTCTCTTTTGCAGTAGCTAAAGTATGAATGGCGGTTGTTTTGATGTACACAGGTGGTGGCGTTCCTTCTTTGTGTCAGGCGCTTGTGGTGGCTATATGTTTCTCTACTCGACGTATTACTTTTGGACACGTCTGGACGTGGAAAATCTCATTGGCGCCATGCTCTACTTTGGTTATATGGCTGTTGCATCTGGTGCACTGTCACTGATGACGGGAGCCGTTGGTGCTGGTGCTTCACTGTGGTTCACGCGCAAAATCTACGCGTCCATTAAGGTCGACTAGAGCAAGTGAAGACAGGAGGTAAGTATACGTAGTATACAGCCAAAAACGCCGCTCGCCTTTTCTGCTTGCCGTGCCCGAAGACGAGTGGACGAGACATGATAAATACACTCGTTTACTACTGATTACGACGACGACGTGGACATGGCGACGGATTACTTTTCATGTTGCTGGTTTTATTACTTGTGATGATTGTCGTTGCATTGTCAAAGTGCTTGGCACCGATTTCTTGTATTGTTGAAAAATGAGGGATTCTCAATCAAGTCTTGACATGATGGATAATATCCATCATGTCTTTGTGTATCCATTGGATACACAAAGACTTGGTGGTGGTGGTGAGTCACCTATAGCCAAGATCAGATGTCTCACCATCTGATCTTCTAGCAGGTATACAGTATACTGTATCTACTACTGTATATGCCCGCATAAAAAACCTCAACTTTGCCGACAACTCGAATTACCCATTTTTGTTTTTAGATAAGGAGCTCTCGTCAACCCTCCCTCCCCCACCCATCCGTCAGGTTTTTCCAAGGTTTTTTATTCCCCACCCCCTCCCGCCCTCCCATTGTGCATCCCACAAGACGACGATAACGCAGTGGGCGTTCATCTTCCTCTTCCTCTCATCATGCAACGACGTAATGGTGGCACTCGAAAAGAGCGTCTATTACGTGCCAAAATGAAGAAGAAAATGACGGATGATACAGATTCCCATGCTCTTGTAAACACCTTTGAAGATATGCTTCAAATGTCGGATCTATCCGAACTGTCTTTATTGACAAATCTTACGAAACGATACGAAAATCAACTGATATATACGTATGTCGGGTCTATTCTTGTTGCTATTAACCCATACAAAACCCTAGATACAATCTATACGGAAGATAAAATGACGGAATATTATGGGAAAACCATGGGAATGTTACCTCCTCATGTCTTTGCCTTAGCTGATCATGCGTATACACAATTAATTCAAGGTGGAGCTTTAGATCCAGCCAATCAAAGTATAATTATCAGTGGAGAAAGTGGCGCCGGGAAAACCGAAACAACGAAAATCATCATGCAATACTTAGCACGTGCCACAAGTTACCGGAAACCAGATGGTGAAACGTCTGCCATCAATGAGGCAACTTCAACTTCAACTTCAACTTCAACCACGAGTAATCCAAATACTATCATCTCGGGCGCTTTAGGGAAACTTGAAGAACGGGTACTGGATAGTAATCCATTATTGGAATCTTTTGGCAATGCCAAGACATTACGTAATGATAATTCCAGTCGCTTTGGCAAATTCATTGAAATTCAATTCAATCATCATGGCAAAATCATCGGGGCCCAAATTCTAAACTTTTTATTGGAAAAAACACGCATTGTGTCCCAGAGTTTAGGCGAACGCAATTATCATATTTTTTATCAATTATTAGCAGGAGCCGATGAGGCGTTACGTGAACGGTTGCACTTGCAAACACCTCAAGAGTATGAATATTTACGAAAAAGTGACTGTTTTCATATTCATTCCTGTGACGATGCCACCGAATTTGCCACAACGAAACGATGTATGGAAACAATTGGAATTACACACGATCGACAGGAAATGGTATTTGAATTATTAGCCGCAGTTTTATTAATTGGGAATTTAAATTTTGCCATGGAAAATGACACTTGTGTCAGTGTTGAGGATGAATCCGTGAATGGAATGAAACTTGTCGCGTCTTTTCTAAAAGTAAGTGAAGATGCACTTTCCAAGGTACTACTGACGCGTCAACTGTATGTGGGAGGCAAAGTTATTGTACAGGAGCAGAATCTAGAACAGGTTCGAGATAAACGAGATGCACTTGCAAAAGGCATTTACTCGTCACTGTTTCTATGGCTCGTTTCAGAGCTGAATCGGACCATCTCACGGAATCAGGACAAATGGGGTTTTATTGGGGTACTGGATATCTATGGCTTTGAAAAGTTTGAGTGGAATACGTTTGAACAATTGTGTATCAATTATGCTAATGAGAAGCTCCAACGACATTTTAATCAACACATGCTAGAAGTTGAACAGAATGATTATGCCAAGGAGGGAATTGACTGGAAACACATTGATTTTGAAGATAATCAAGAGTGCTTGGATCTAATTGAGAGTAAAGTAAACGGTAAACCAGGCATTTTCATCTCACTGGACGACAATTGGCGACTTAAGGGAGAAGAAGCAAACAAGAAGTTTGTGTCAAATTTGCACAATTCCTTTGGTCGGACGTCGAATGGACACTTGAGCGGTAAGAATAAGTTTTACGTACACCCGAAGATGGACGCAGACTTGCACTTTGGTATCAAGCATTACGCCGGTGAGGTCATCTACGACGCAAGCGGTTTCAATGACAAAAATAACGAGACATTAAATGACGACATGAAAGAGCTCATCCGGCAATCTAAGAGTGACTGGCTGCGTGGAATCTTCGATCTTAACATGCAGTCAATCGAGGCTATCCTTGGCAACAAGCCACAACAGCAGCACTCCATTTCTCGTCGCCCGAGCGAGATCAAGGGAAAGAGTATGCACCAGCAGGGGAACAAGTCACGTAATATTCGAGAAGTGTCTGTTAGCGCTCAGTTCCGGTATCAGCTGCAAGAGCTCATGAACAAGATTTCGCTGGCGAATCCTCGGTATGTGCGGTGCATAAAACCGAACGAGTACAAGCGTCCAAATGAGCTTCATGCTGCGGATTGCGCGCGTCAGTTGAAATACTCTGGTATGATGGAAGCGATTCAGATCCGCCAGCGCGGTTTTGCTCTTCGCGAAGACCACGATGTTTTTTTTTACGATTACCAATCGCTTGCGCCTGATGCTCAGAACATCAAGGAGCTCGTTGAGGAGATTTCGTCTATGTTGGGTGCGGGCAAGGAAGAGTGGCAGTTGGGCAAAACGAAGGTGTTCCTGAAGAGAGCCATGGCCTTTAAGTTGCGAAAACTTGAAATGCTGCGGTGCAAATCTGCTGCTCGTGCCATTCAGAAATGGGTCCGCAACATGGCGAGAACGGAAGCTGCTGTCAGAATACAAACGAAAGCCCGTCAGTTCGTCGCGAAGAAGCAGCTGCAACGACTTCGTCGCAGTGCGTACCGTGTGATGGGTATTTTCCGGATACGTGTAGCTGTGAGTAAGTACCAGCGTATGCGTGCTGAATACCGCATGCGAAACGAAAAGGCAGTGATCGTACAGAAAATTGCGCGCGGGTATCTAGTCCGCAAGCGCGATTTGCTTCATCCATTTGGCGAAATGGGTCCGAAGGAGCTGGATGTAAAAATCGCCGAGTTGGAAGAGGCTATTGAAGATGCTGCGGTCAGCAAACAGTTTGAGCTGTGTGCCAATTTGCAACTAGAGCTTGAGAAGGTCGTCGAGGCCCGAAAGAAGGTTCGCACTGCGAAGGAAATTGATGCAGAAATCAAGAAATTGAACGAGGATATGGAAGAAGCTGCAATGTCGAAGCAGTTTGGTTTGTGTGCGGAGCTTCAAAAGCAACTTGAGATGCTGCAAGAAGCCCGGACGCACGTGAAGGAAGATTTGAATGAGCTAGAACCGGAGGAACTTGATGAGCGTATTCGTAAAATGGAAACTATCATTGCTGAGGCAATGGCTGCACGAGACTTTGGCAGGTGCAGTGACTTGCAAGTCAGTTTGGATGCCTTGGTGTCTACTCGGAAGAGAAAACAAACCCCGGAGGAACTGGATGCTGAAATTGAGAAGCTGAACCAGGAACTTAACAATTTGATGCAAAAGAAGCAGTTTGATAAGTGTGCCCAGCTTCAAAACGATATCGATGTCGTGAAGAAGAGAAGAGCAAAGTTCCCTACGGTTTCAAAGCCTCCTGCTCCGCGACCTTCTTCGAAAAAGTCTGAGCCGTCACCAGAATCAACTTCATCTCCTTCCTCGAAGAACAGAACGCCTTTACAAGAGAAGCTCGGACCAAAGCCGATTACGCCGGCTCCTCCATCAAACATTGATCGCGGTGGCATTCCTTCCGTGTGTGAGCCTGTTGTGTTTACACCAAACTCTTCACCAGCGGCTTTGCCTGGTGAAAAGCGGCCTGCTTCTAAGTTTCCTCAGGCAACACCGGCACCTCAGGCAACACCCCTACCGCAAGAATGTCCGGCCCCACAGGTTTCTCCAGTAGCGTTGACTCCAGCGCAACTGCTTGAAGATTACTCAGCCGCAGGCACACCGGTTAGTGACTATTTTGCTCCTAAGGGAGTTCCAACGGCGCCTAGTGCGAGGCGGCCTCCCGCAATTTACAACGGTCCTTCTCCTAGTGTCCGATGGGAATCGAATACTATGACCCCTGTGATGCCTCCCATCAAACAGCCAATGTTTGGGCGTCGTAAGCGCTCAAATTCGAACAGCTCGGCGACGTCAGGAGATTCGTTTGCGAGGTCGCATTCGTCAATGATGTCTACATCATCATCTAAAACGAGAAAATCGTCGTCAGATCCGTCACGAACAGTTGCTCGTCTTCGTCCGGCTAAGGCGATCACGGTTAGTGAGGAATCGACTGTTTTAGAAGCTGCAAGAATGATGAAGTCTCACCGCGCCGCCGCCGTTCTGGTGACTAACTGGGAAGGTGCCTTGACCGGCATTTTTTCGGACACAGATGCGGCACGACGTGTAGTGTCGAAAGGTATGGATCCCTCCAGAGTCGCTATTGGTTCAGTGATGACGCCGAACCCTACTTGTGTTACGATGGAGGATAACGCAGTGGATGCGATGGATACAATGCTCAGCGGAAAATTCCGCCACTTGCCGGTGATCAGTTCTCGCAGCGGCAATATTGTTGGTGTGCTTAACGTGGCAAAGTGTTTGCACGATGCAATTCGACGAGTTGAAAACATGTCAACCTCACTTCATCAAGAGCTTGGTGCAAGCGGGGACAATGCCATGCTGCGCGGAGCGTTTGAAAAAATGCTGTCTCCTTCGCTCCATGATGTGATGTCGGTGCCAGGTGAAGTTATGCCAGCGTTGGTTTATGGTAACATGACGGTTTATGAGGCAACGACGTACATGGTGGAGACCAGACGACCAGTTCTCGTGGTGTCGTCTGATGCCGAAACACAGGACCTAGTTGGAATCTTTACTCCGAAGGATTTGCTGCTTCGCGTGATTGCGGGAGACCTGGACGTTCACACTACGTCAGTTAGTGACGTGATGACTCCTAATCCCGAATCGACTGGACCGGAGACATCGATATTAGATGCGTTTCACATCATGCACGACGGAAAGTTTTTGAATTTGCCGGTGGTGTCTCCGGATTCTGGCGAAATTCTAGGTGTGGCTGATGTTATATCCATGAGTTTAGTATCTTTTGGCGAGTCTAGCGATATAAACAAGCTCTTCAACGCTGCTTTTGATTATCATGATGATGATACCACCTCGATGACGTCTGGTAGGTCGACGTCCAATTTGTCCGTTGCTAGCAAAGCGCGCCAACAAAAGGACCGCGACAAGGGCGTGAACGTTCGCCCAGTATCCAGCCTGCGTCCTCTTCCGGCTGTCACTATTGATGAGGTCGCATCTGTGTTTGAAGCTTCATTGCTGATGAAGCAGAAACGGACAGATGCGTTGCTTGTTGTGGATGAAGCTGGAGGTTTGAATGGTATTCTAACCGACACGGATATTTGTCGCCGTGTTCTAGCGCTGGACTTGATTCCAGAAGAGGTGCCTGTGTGTAACGTGATGACACGAGACATCAAGTACGTATCACCCAATGACAGTGCAATTGATGCTCTGCTTTCAATGCAGGAGGGGCATTTCCGCCATTTGCCGGTTGTTGACGGTGGCACTATTGCTGGTGTCTTAAACATTGGCAAGTGCATTTATGATGTCTCGAAGCGCCTCGAACATGCTTTGCAGTCGACGAATCAGCTAAAGGCGTCGCTAGAGAAAAGCGGCAAGTCGTCAACTCTTCAGCAGTTGCTTGCTCCGATGCTGGAAAAACTCTCGGCACCCACATTGGGTTCGATCGTTGACAACGGAACCCGGAATGGCTCGACGCCAGCTCCTCGTCTTCCAAAGTCGTCTCTTGTTAGTGATGTGGTGAAGGCAATGGCTTCATCAAAAAAGGCGGCGCTTATCGTCGATGACATTAATTTCGATAAGCTGGTTGGTATCTTTTCTCCTAAGGAGCTGGTGCTCAATGTTATTGCTAAGGGTCTCAAGGCTTCAGCCACGTATGTGGAAGAAGTGATGCTGAACGACCCTGAGATTGCGACGCCTTCGACGTCTGTGTCGGATGGCCTACACATTATGCACGATTCCCGGATACTTAATCTGCCGGTGCTGAAGGACGACTCGAACGAGCTTGTCGGTATGGTTGATGTGCTTGACCTCAGCTACGGCACCATCGATGCAATCTACGGTGACAATCGCGAGCAGATGCAGGAGTTTTGGAACACGACGCTGGAGCTGGACCAGCCATCTTTGCCGTCGGAAGCAGGGGATCGGGAGCGCACCACGCTAATGTCGAGGGCAGAACGTGAAGAGAAGAGCCGTACAGTAGCGAAGCTGCGACCGAGCAAGGTGCTCACTGTATTAGAGTCAACAACTGTTGCGGAGCTATCACGGACTATGGGGCGGAACAAGGTGGACTGCGTGCTGGTCGTGTCGGAACAGGGAATGCTCAACGGTATCATTACGGACACGGATCTGACGCGCCGGGTCGTTTCGGAGAACCGTCCGCTGGATTCAACGCTGGTAGGTGATGTCATGACTTGCAACCCTATCTTTGTGTCAACAGACGACCCTGCGATTGATGCACTCATTTCCATGCTGGAGGGCAAGTTCCGCCATCTGCCAGTTGTCGAGCGTAATGGTCCCGTTGTGGGTATCTTGAACATTGCAAAGTGTTTATACGATGCTATTCGGAAGATGGAGAAGTCAGAGCAATCATCTGCAGCGTTGCGACACACGCTAGAGAAAGAGATGAAGAACCGCGTGAATGGTGGTGCTCGTACTGGTGGAGTCTCTCAACTTCTTGGGTCTATGGTGAATAAGATGTTCTCGCCTAACATTAAAACGGTGATTGATGAAGAAGGTATTGATCCTCCTCGCGTGCAGCGTTACACTTCAGTGTATGAAGTGTCAAGGCAAATGGCTATCAAGAAGAAAGGAGCTCTAGTTGTAGATAATCGCGGGCAGTACTGTGGTATTTTCACGCCCAAGGAAATGCTGGAAAAGGTGCTCGCACGTGGTTTGCCCGTCCACACCACACCCGTGTGCGAAGTGATGTTAGAGAAGGATGTGACTATCAATGGAGAAACTTCGGTGATTGATGCTATGCACGCGATGCACGACAACAGGACGCTGTACCTAGCGGTGACGCAGTCTGAGGCAAACAAACAGCCCATAGGTCTGATTGACGTGCTCTCCCTGAGTTATGGTTCTTTTGCGAAGGGCAAGCCTAGTGAGTGGAAATCCTTTTGGAATGCTTCATTTGAGGCAGGTGATGACGACGATGTGTCGTCGCAGCACAGTTTCCGCAGCGGATTGTCGCACAACCTCGCGCCAAGCAGCAGTGGTTTGAGCCAAAAGGGCCGACAGGCAACATTGGCGACGGGCAATGTGCGTCCTGTGTCAAAGCTGCGACCGTCGAAGGCTATCACGATTTCAGAGACATTTTCGGTTTTTGATGCTGCCAAGGCGATGAGTGTCGCGCAGACGGACGCTGCATTGATCATTGGGCGTGATGGTGGGCTTCTTGGTATTCTTACGGATACTGATGTGACTCGACGTGTGGTGGCTTTGGGAAACGATCCGTTCTACGTGAGCGTGCTGGATGCGATGACCCCGGACCCCAAGTTTGTGGACGAACGCGACAGCGCCATGGATGCTATGTTCATGATGCTTGAGGGCAAATTTCGTCACCTGCCCGTCGTGGACGAAACAGGTATGGTTGCGGGCATGCTTCGTATTCAAAAATGCCTGTATGACGCGATTACGCGCATCGAGAAGGTGCAGCAGTCGTCAAGCGGATCGCTTCAGCAACGTCTTGATAAGCAGTTACAGGCCACTGGCATTGGCTCGGGCCAAGGAGCTCTGAAGCAGCTTGTAGGCCCCATGGTAGACAAGCTGCTTTCGCCTACAGTAGACTCGATTCTGGAAGACGAGACACTTCCTCCTCTTGTAAGTGAGCATGATACGGTGATGGAAGTGGCTCGTCAGATGGCTGCGTCTCGCAAGGCCGCACTCATTGTGGAGGACCCAAGCGGTGACAATAGTTCGTCTGTAAGCGGAGGACACCGGTCTTCAATCAGCGGAGGGGGCTACGACATTGGCACCTCGGCACTTACTAGAAAGGTGCTGGGTGTGTTCACGCCGAAGGATCTATTGCTGCGGGTGACTGGTGCTGGCCTCGATGCTGCCGAGACGACAGTTGGTCAGGTCATGACGCATGATCCTGAGACTGCTCCGCCGAACACAAAACTCGTTGAAGCGTTGCACATCATGTATGAACACGACTTTCTACACTTGCCGGTTGTTAACGATGAGACAGCTACAATTGTAGGCATGCTGGACGTGTTGTCCTTGTGCTACGGAACGTTTGCGAGCGGTGCGGCAGCAGAAAGTGGTAAGGCCATCGATGGAGACTCGGATTGGCGTGCGTTCTGGGACGTATCGCTAGCACTCGGCCACGATGAAGACGACTTCAGTGAGCTTGCTAGCATGACTGGCTCGCGAATTTCGCGCCGTCGTCCAGGCAGGTACACGGAAAGCCACCACTCGTCCATGAGGGACCATGTCCCCGAGCCAGAAGGCGCGATGCGTCCTGTGTCGATGCTGCGACCTCAGGAGGTGACTCGCATCAACGAGTTTATCACTGTGGCCGAAGCGGCGAAGCGCATGCGGCAAGCTCGTGTCGAGGCAGTTGTGGTCACGACAGAAGAAGGCGAGCTTCGCGGTATTTTGACGGACACGGACATCACGCGCCGCGTATTAGCTGAGGGTATGGACCCGGGGAGTTGCTCTGTGGCATCGGTTATGACCACAAAACCTTCTTGCGTGTACATGGAGGATCAGGCTATTGAGGCAATTACAAAGATGCTTGAGGGCCGTTTTAAGCACTTGCCTGTGCTTGGCTCGGACGGTACGCCGCAAGGCATGCTAGATATCTCCAAGTGTTTATACGATGCCATTACGTGTATGGAGAAGGTGCAGCAGTCGACAGAGGCAGCGGCATCTGAATTCTCACGGGATCTTGGCACTGGGTCGAATTTGCAACGACTGCTGGGCCCCATGATGGAGAAAATGGTGCGGCCTACCGTTGGTGATGCGCTTGACGGCGAGCTCATGCCACCTGTAATTAATACTCACACCACGGCGGCGCGTGCTGCAAAGCTAATGGCGAACACGAAGAAAGCTGCGATAGTTCTGAGCGATGAACAGGAGCTTTGTGGTATGGTGACGACCAAGGATCTGCTCCGCAAGCTGGTAGCCAAGGGTCTGTGTGCAGAAACGACCACGGTGGAAGAAGTGATGACGGTCGACCCGGATCTGATGGGACCTGATGTGAGCATTGTAAACGGTTTGCGCTCCCTGCACGATGCTGGTCAGCTGTTCATGCCAGTGCTGGCAGACGATGGCGAAATCCTGGGTATGGCGGACGTCATTTGCCTGAGCTACGGTCAGTTCCAGACTACGTCTGGTGGCACTTCGAATGGTGACTGGAGACAGTTCTGGCAAACAGCGATGAACCTACAGGAAGAAGTAGCGGGAGGCGCGTTCGGCGGAATCAACGATGACGTACGGTCTGTTGGCACGATTGAAGAGTTTGAGCGTGACGAGTACAATGCTGTTGATGGCGCATCGACTCCGACGGCCAGTGGTGTGGGCACTAATGGAGCCGGCCGGTATTCAAACTCACTTGGTGCGTATGCTGAGCTGGGTGAGAGCGTTTCGGTTGTCAGCGGAGCGAATACGACAACAACGAGCGTTTTGATGCAGAAGTTGTCGGAAGAGAACATGTTTGTCTTTAAGGTGAGTGATGGCCGGCAAGGTCATTTCCACCGTATCATGTGCAAGTTCGACTCGATGGGCCCGCTTCTGGAGCAGATTCGGTTCAAAATGGGGCTCGATGAGAATGAGGCACTGCGTCTCAAGTGCGAGGATGACGAAGGGGACCTGGCGCTGCTAACATCCGATGAGAGTCTTGTGGAGGCTGTGAACATGGCCCAGCGTGCCGGATGGAAACGTTTGGTGCTTGAAGTGGATGTGGTGACGCGTCAGCAGCACGACGGCAACGGTAGTGTCGTGTCCGCAGCCAGTTCAGCGGCAAGTGTTGCTAACAGTGGATCAAATACAGCAGGTCCCAAGCCGCGTAACCGATTGCTAACCAAGGTAGACGAAATGTCGTCGGCTGAAAACAGTTCAGACGAGGAAATCACGCGACGTAAAAGCAAGAAATCACGTCGCAAGAAGAAGCGCCGTATTCGCGGCTTCCGCGGCTTTTCTCTCAACAACAACATGATTGCTGGTGGTGCAGCGACATTGGTGGGTCTCGGTGCTGTCGCTTTCATGATGATGCGACGCAAATAAACTGAGTTTTAGTAGAGATAAAAAAACGATGATAAGGATCATGAGGATGGCGAGATTTCTAGAGGATGACGAATACATATAGAAGAAGGACATACGACGTATGTCTTGTATCGTCGTGGCTACTTTGTTGGCATCCACTTGATTCACTTGATTAGTAAATTAGCTCTACGAAGTTACTGGGAAAATATATAATCGCGAAAGTGGCTTGATATATAAACCAAGTCAAGCTGATACGTTGTTTGTAGCTTCAAGTTCCTCAGTCTTGTCCTTCATGACAATAACAAGTTTCGAATCTCCTTCACCTGGTTCATTACTACTACATTCATCGTCCATTGGTGTACCTAAACTCGGCACTTTTTCATCATCATTAGTCAAATTATTGGGAGGAGATTGAGGTGCCTGTGACACGATACAACTTTCATCCCGAACGTCTTTTTTTAGAAAATTATCTTGAATCCAAAATTGCATTGCATTCATTGAACAAGGACATGCAATCATCACAATAGTCAATTCCACATCTGGATACTTTTTCAATGGGTTAAAAAGCACGCCTGCAAAGGCGCCCAGAGGGTTTTGAAAAATGACAATAAGTATTGCAATGAGAAATTTGCAGACAAAAATCACGAGAATCCATGAAAATACTTGCAAAAACCATGTCCGAAACAAAACCGGATTACCGTAATCCCCTGGGGTTTTTAAAGATGACCAATCAAAACGAAAGGCCAAAAAAATCACACCCGAAAGTAAAAGATAGTTTACCAACACTCCCAAGGTCGTATCTAACGTGAAATTGACAAAATAAAGTGCACATTGATCCACTGATTCGTGATCTGATTCAGATAGTACTTGTTGACGGGAATAAAGCAATATTGCAATAAACAAGTTGGCAATATGGGCAAAAGTCGCTCCAATCATTTGTTTCGCAGCATCAAAAGCCCATATCATTAATGGACGTTGAGGCGTTTCACGCAATCGTTTGACCACTAACACCGAAAAAGCAATAAGTCCTAGTAACACTTGCAAAAAAGCTGCAAAATCACCACTTAATAGTTTGCATTCCGTCAAATTCTCGTCTTTGTCTTGCCACGTGCTGCTCATACGAAATCGCTTCCTGTCTTTTTCAAATAGAGAAAATGACAATAGGATGGTGGAGTAAAAGCGACAATTGGTTTTAAAATAGAGGTTTTAAAAAAAGATAAAGCGGCGAAATGCACAATATATTGTTTCTTGGATATTTCTTGGATATTTCGTATTCTACGGGATAAACTTATTGGTACGTATTTTACCGTATGACTGAAATACGGGGAGCATAAAGCTCATGGCAAATATTTTTTCTTCCTGTCGACTTCATTGACCGAGGTTCATGTCGAGCAGCGTCGAAATATGTCTGCAATATTTCAAACTCCTGACTCATTGAACCTCCCAGGAAACAGCCCATGCCACTTGTTGAATAAACTTTCGATTCGCTTGTACAAGAAGAAGTTTTCAACCTTGTGCGACTTTCACCCACAGATGCCACACTTAACAATATCCCGTCTTCGTTTTCGTCCTCTTCATGCACCAATAACCCATTGGACGTGTCACGATACACTTCACCTTCTAGCACCCGGTGTAGCTGTGCACGTTCTCGTCGAAGCTGTTCCAACTCACTTTGAAGATCAGAGTTCTGCTCCACTTGAGACTGCAATTGTTCGTGTGCCACACTCAGCTGATCTTGCAACTCATGCTGTGTCACCTGCAGTTCCTTGGCCCAGGCATCCTACAGCAATTGACATCAATAGAAAACGTTAAGCTTTCTACCAAATCAATAAACATGATACGTATCACTACAAACAATAAACAGCAAGAAAAGGGAACCTGATATACCCGAGAGTCATTCGATTCCAGCGATCGCAGATAGAACGATGACCAGATTGCTAGCGAGCTTGTGTGCCACTTGCACTGCAGTACCGACGGAGACTTGTCCGTAGACTCCTCGTCACTAAGAGGCACCATGAAAAATGGATTTTGAAAATTCGAAAAATCAGGATGCGCTTCAATCAACGTCCAGGCGCTTGTGCATCGGATAATCGTCTTGGACCTCTGGTATACAAGTGACCAGCACAATTGGCAAACACGTTTCAACACTTGACATCAAATAAAAAGAACACAAACCATTCGGGCCTCTTCGCAATCGTAGAGAAAAGTCCCACTTCGCTTGTTGTAGACTTCGTCGAGCAGAGCGATGAGATAGCGTTCATTAAACTCAAACGAACACGGAAACTGGCGCATCAGTTGCCACACAGCATCCAGAAACTGCATGAATACAGGCGATGTACTGTCATCTTCCCAATATCCAGCTGGGCTGTCTGTATGTCCCGATCGTGCGCGAAATTGGTGTCCAAAGGAACACCACTCCTGCTCGACCAGCACCTAGAAGCAAATACAGTTGTAATCGAGTTAGTACATGAACAATTTCTCCCATTGCCACTTCAATTACGCACCTGAAAACCCTTTATCGTCCGGTAAAACGGATCCGCACATAACTTCACTAAGGCTGTGATTTGGGCGGTGCGGTCCCATCCATCCGAACAGTGAATCATCAAACTGGTTCCTTCGACAAGCTTTGCAACACAAATGGAACACGACACCAGAATAGAGCGCACGTGCTCTAACCATCGTGTACTCTACAATGTGGTAACGGCAAATATATCAATATCCACGAGGTCAGCCCCTTTTCAAACTCTACGACCAAAGCTTGTAAGAACACTTACGCACCTCTAGACCTGATAACCAATTTGGTCGCTCGTTGCCACGTATTTCATTCTTGATCAAATCAAAGAGTTTCCGAATAGAATCTCGCATTGAGTGGATATTTTCAATACCCATGAACATGATGCTTGTGTTCTTGTAGTAATCCAGTCTAAGACAACAAAAGCGGATGTATAATCAATATACAACTCCAAAAAAAGTCTGTAAATAGAGCAAGCACATACACTTCGAAGCCTCCACCTAGTGCAATATTGCCGTATGCACTGGTTTGGCTTCGGCAATCAATGAAAACCAGCTTCCCTTTGCACTCTCGTCGTAGTGCTACCATGTATGCTTCATCAGAGATGCACCGTTTTCTACGCAATCCTACCAATGGCTGTGCACATCTTGCAATTACCGCATCATTATTGTGTCGGTACGATATAGCCGGCACACGTCCACGAGCACGAAATAAACTGATCTTTCGTAACTCTCCATCTGATACCGATGCAGGAACAATGAACGAGCTCGGATATGTCGGCGACATTTTGTAATTGTTGTTCACTTGTGTAATTCGAAATCCACCGATCTGTGTCCCTGGTTTTGGCATCTTCAAACCAAGTCGAGCAAATTCAACTTGAGGGTGGTAAATTGTCCACGCAGCCACATCTGGCTTCTGATTTAGCACAAAAGCTGCAGGCTGAAGTTTGTTTGCAAGCAACTGATTGATTTTCACGTAAACGTCACCCGAGACATTTTCTCCTGGAAAATTAAATTTCACCAATTCAAAATTTTTGCACGAAATTTCCAATTGACTCAGAGGTCCCAATTTTCCATTGACTTGAAATTCCGCCAATTCAGCAATATTATTCAAATAGATTTCCACCACTTTCTCTTCATCATGCTATGGATAAATAATAAATATCAGCATATAAACGTCAAAAAAACATTTTCACAAATATCTAAAAACTAAAAAAAACTTACGTGAAAAGAACGGAATAAAAGACGGTAGTCCGTTATAAACAACGTGCCATGGATCGCATCATCGGCGTTTTTTACCGTTTCTTTCTTGCTCGAGACTCCTGCCACTCGTCCCACTGTCGACTGATCAGACAGTGCGTGCACTTTTAATTGCACACTCTCGCCCATATACAACGTATCGGACGGATTTTCCATCACCAGATACATACTTTCTGAAACGAACGAGGTCTGAAAAAAACACGAAACAAAAAAACGTTTGAAACCATTTCCTGTAGAAATTAATAAAACCATATATATGACCCCTTACGGCGTGGTCCAGTTCTTGTCGCTTGACTTCCGTCCATGAATCTTCGTCGACACTTCGTTGGTTATTATAAGATAAAAAACCATCATCACATCGCGAGCCTGACGTTATTTTACTACCATCAAACATTCGCTCCATTTATTCTTCAGCTTGGAAATCGACGTGACTGTAACGTTTTTTTTTACTTCGGATCAGGTCATATTTTACACTAAGTACGCACTTTAAATTACGCACGGAGCGTTAAATTCCCATTTCAGCTTTATTTCTAAACGTTCTTGGTCCTAAAAGATTGTATCTTATTGGCGACACTACAATTCGTCGCCTTCCCACTCGTCACTGTCCATTTCGTCCAGTCGTTGCGAGTTAATTTTGTCCAGTCGTTGCGAGTTAATTTCGTCGTGCCACCCATCACCTTCGTATACATCTTTGTCCACGACATAATTACCTGCCAGTTCGCAACCGGTATGCACCGCGGTACCAGCTTCAAGGTATTGCACACCTTCCGGTGAAATACCATCAATCAGTACATCACCAACTTTTGTCGCACGAACTGGCTGGATCAAAGTACATGAACAGCCATCCACGTCACAGTCACGCACTTCGTCTTCATCCATGATTTCATCATTGAATAAGGCAAGTTGAAGTCGCACTTGACCAACAATTGTTCCATCTGCTTCAATGGGGTAATTCTTGTCTTCAAACGTGCGACCAATGAGCATTTCAACTTTCAAGCAAAGCTCTCCGATCAAAGTGCTACAGTGATAACAAATTAGTGCAATGTAAGACTTGACAGCAATCCAATGATCACGATTCTTACTCTTTAATGGTATTGTCATTCATGACACGAACGACAAGAAAGTCGTGCTCTATGCATCGCACACTCACTGTAAGACCTTCAATCCAACGTGGATTCTTACCTAAACAGAAGAATAGAACAGCACAAATCTAAGCATTGACATTCCATATCCAATCGGCAAGCATCACGTACCTCCATTATCATGAGTTTTTGTCTTGTATACCAAATCCTTTGCACCTGGTGTGCGGTTGGGTCCAATGTACACTTCACACATGGGATCTTGTGTCCCGAATGACTGAGTATTACGCAATTTGCTACCAGAGATAAGTCCCAGATAGAGTTTAGTCTTTCCAGGTATAAAGTGCTGTGGATATTCACCAAACTTGACACGCGGTTGTGACGTTGGATTCTCTAGCATTCTCACTCAGAGCAACGTCAGCACTATAGTCCCCTTATCAAGTATCCATATTCCTTGAACATATTCAACGCACCATGACCCATTGACAAATACATTAACACTTTGAGATATCCCTGAGGGGTCAAAGCAAACTCTTTTTCCATGGACCGTCCACGAGACAAGTCTCGCATCGCTAATGCAATTTCTCCAATCACGGTACTTGTCATGCCGTATCAATTTAATTCTCAGTATCTTCTTCACCAAAAAGGGTCGTGTATTCACTTGGTACTTACTTTTTCCCCCAATTGTTATTCTTGATACGAAACCGAACAATGTCCGAGGAGATATCGGGGATCAAAATGTGGCCCTTGGCATTCCACATTGGATTCGTCCCTGCATGTAAAAATCTTCAGCAATTCTTTTGTCAATATGTACCATCACTCTCATATCTCACCTCCATTATCATGTGTATCTGTCTTGAATGCCGCTTTCTCAAGCTCCTTTCCTCCAGTAGTTAAGTATACACTGCAGTATGGGTCTTGTTCGCCTAGAATCTGCACATTTTTCAAGTCGCGGCCCGATAAAATTGTCATGTACAAGATTGCATCATTGCGTAATGCAGTAGATACTCTCGCTACGCTGCTACTGATGGATATACGGCTCATTGATGATCGACTGTAATGGCTCATGGTGATATACTCAAGTCCAAATATCAAGTGGTATAGGGTCGATAATGTACTAGGTGAAGGAAAACGGAGCATAACGAAACCAAGTAGAACATTATTGTGAGGTGGTACAGGCATCAAGAGCTTGGATCAGTGAGCTTAGTTCAGTGAGCTTGTTACAAGTTCATAGGGAAAAGCAAAAAATGTATTACCAAGACAATGATGAAGCACTTCTTGTTCTCAACTTTCAGTTACGAAAGGCAGAAAAGCAACTATCCGTCCGTCCGTCTAGTTCAAGAAAGCGACCACGAAGACCGAAGCCACAAGGACGAAAGAGGTGGCCACAGACGCCGCGTCGCTGGACTTGCCCTCTTTGGGCTTACTGCTGCTGCCCTTGGAGTCCGATTCCACTTTACGTGTGCACTGGTCACCAGTGTAGCCGCTCTCACATTCACAGATGTTCATGCTCTCGCTACTAGAGGACAAAGTCACGTCCGCCATCTCCATCAGGAAACGAGTCGAGGTGTCCGAGTTCGTATTGTCCGTTGAGACCGCACTACTATCCACATCGGCGACTTGGCCCGCATTATCACCCGCATTGTCCGCTTGGTCAGGTTTAGTAGAACCCGCCGTCAAGTCAGAGTTGGTGCCGGTTTTCATGTCAGAGTTGGTGCCGGTTTTCATGTCAGAGCTGGTGCCGGTTTTCATGTCAGAGTTGGTGCCGGTTTTCATGTCAGCCATGGAGCCACTTTTCATGTCAGCGGTGGAGCCAGCAGCAGCAAGTGAGCCGGAAGACTTACTGGATGCAGCAATGCACTTGCCGTGGCCACCGCAAGCCTTCGGTGACGTAGGGTCACAGTACGCACACTGATCACCAGTGGTACCAGGATCACACTCACACTCTTGAGTCTTGAGGTTGCATGTACCAGCCTGGCATTGTGACTCAAGTGTACACTTGTTAGACACGATCTTTTGGCAGTACGTGCCATTGTATCCGACATTGCAGCGACATGCAAAGTCAATACCACCCGAAGAGCGAGGAGAACAGGTACCACGTCCAGAACACACAACGTCCGAATTCTCTCCATTGTTGGGGTTCACACATCCTTCATTGATTACAGCCGAGTAATTCATCTGAGCTGACAAGTCCCAATTGTCTGAATCTTTCAGGTACAAGAGATTGCTCCCATCAAAGTCCACACAGCCATAAATGACACCAAAATTCTTGGTTTTAGTCTTGACTGTTTCCGTAATGGTTACGCATGACACGTAACCATCCGTCGAGCCAGACTCTTTGTCCTTAAGACACTTGTCGGAACCAGATGGTAACTGATAGGCACAGACACTACTGATTGACTGAAAGGCAGTTTTCCACGTGGAAAAGGATGGACAAAGTCCCGAAAACGTGCCAGAACATACGTCACCTTGGGTTTTATAAGGTAGACATTGCTTGACGTTCTCAATACCCGACCGTGTCGTCTGGACACTAATACACACGTAGTTGTCTTCACAGGACGAATCATCTTTGCAATAACCAGGCTGTCCTACTCCCGAATCAGCCTTGACAGCAGCCAACATGGCTCCGATGGCAGCGAGGTATGCTGCCGATTGCATCGTTTATTAAGAGAGAGAGAGAGAGAGAGAGAGAGAGAGAGAGAGAGAGAGAGAGAGAGAGAGAGAGAGAGAGAGGAAGGACGGTACTGACTTGAGGTTTGGTAAGCTAAAGAAGGAATGGCCATTCGGTTTCACGGTTGGCGCTGCTGGCAAAGAGCCAGTAAAAGGGAGAGAGGTAGATTGCGTGGGTTTGTTGTTATGTTGTTGTGAAGCATCGTTTATACTTGTCTTTTGTATGGATGAGACACTTTTTTTCAGATTCATGCCATGGAACAGATGGTGAGAGTAGGACTCGTTGACCAGTCAATAGGTGGATACATTTTAATTTTAGCCAATCTGAGCGACAAAAAAGTAGACCAGAAGAAAACTGATACCAAGCACGACGAAAGGCGAGCGTATTCTTGCGACTGCCTCTTGACTGTTCACGACGCTGTCGGTATCTTGTAACTATGCGTGCAAGCTGGATTAATACTACCTTTTGCATTTATATACATAATGTTTGTACTGGAGTGGGTTTATTTATCCAGCACTCTTTGATTGCGACGAGTAGCGTGTCATTTGCGACATGTGTGTCACACGCGCAACATTCTTGAAATTTCAGAAAACGCCCCTTTGAGGCAGTACCTCTGACTGTACATAAGGGCCACCAAAACGCCATGCGATGTGCTATATATAGTGTCGTTTCGTCCATTTTCTGGGGCGGTGTGCAATGGCCATACTGCACTGCAATGAAAAAATAACAGTTGTACGTTGACAAAGGCCTTACAATTTGGAATCCGATCTCAATACGTACTTGCAGATAGATATACGACAATTTGTCTGTCGTGTAGCCTATACTTTGGCAAGAATTATTGTCACCAAGTTGTAGCCATTTTCACACGTCATGCACAAGAAGAATGGACTGGTACGTTTTTTAATGTCCGTTGCAATGTCGCTACAATTGTCAATAGCTTCTCTATGTGTCTAAATGTACTGACCAAAGCAGCTTTTCACGCCAGCATTCAAATCGGTGTATACAAGAACCCTGTCTTGAAGAAATTATACTCACGGAAGTACACTCGGCGGATCACGTGTGGTGCTGCGTATTCAAATATGCTACTGAGCACGTTTTGATCAAGTACAGGCAGCAGTGACGGAGTTTTCTTTTGTTTCTTGTTTACAAGTTTTGGAGGTGCTTGAGCTCTTAGGACGCTTAAAAAAGCGACTTTGCAATCCATAGAGAAAGCAGTTTTTGTCACAGGTAGTGACTCGAGATGGTGCGTTTTAAAGTTGTTATAGTGCGTCTGGAAGGCGTTATGATCCGTCGTTTGGGACCGTTGAGCGACAATGTCCAGATACTCGAGCGTACGATTCTTTTCGAGTAATTTTAATAATGCCGCGTAGCATTGATCCGAGTCGGCTCTCTTGTTCAGGCGAACTCGCAGACGTCTTACACACTTGGTTAGTGGATGTTTGTGATCACAGAGTGTTTCAGCTATTCCTTGTACATTTCGGACAGAAAGATGGGGCTCGTAGTGTACGGTCAAGTTGCGGAAGTTGCTATTGCGGAAGCAAAAGCGCATTTCTGTTGTTCGTGTGCTCACAGCTAACTCGACGAGATTCGGACAGGTTGCTACGATGCCTTCCAGTTCATTGGTGTAAATGTCTTTGAACTCGAGAGTAAGATGTGTTAGTGAGACACCAACAAGTAGTAGTAAGCCTTGCAGGATGGCTGGATCTGGATCTTCACTAAACTTGATCGCTAACGATGTGATACCTGCTAGGCTCTTGGAAGGTCGAGTGAGCTCTCTGTATACCAAGTTGGTACGTTTCACGCGACATCTCCCAAACCCAGGAACAAGGACACTTGCACGATCGTTTTCATCGGTTTCAATCATTTGCGTCACTCCCGTGATCTCTCTATCCAATGTAAACCATCGATCTGTGCAGAGAGGTTCTTCCCTTCGAACCGATAACAACTCGATTGGTGATCCTGCTTTGATGCAAAGATCTATCCATGCATCAGATGGACAACTTGAATAGCCAAGCAAAGATTCTTCTGGACCCTCTGCTGCTAACACCGCAGCCATGGACTCAACTGCTTCACTTGTAATCACAACATTATGAAGAGCAAGACTTTCTAGCCGCGAATGAAGGCGAGCTTTCTCCGAGAAGCAAGCAAAAATGATCCATTGCCACATCCAGCAACGAAGCACCGAGTCTCCGTCGTCATCGTTGCTTTCTCCATCATTCATCTCTAGCGAAAGATGCTTCGTTGTTTGATTCACCACCACCGCTGAGCACATCCGCTCAAAAACCCATTTCTGCATCACTTCACAGTCAAAGTGCACGAAGCTGGATGCAAGTTGGTTAGCGTACCCATATTCGGCCACGAGAGGTCCAGTAATACTCGTAGTCTCAAACCCAAAATCCTCCCATTCCGTCGTCTTTGCGCCGCCAAACAGACCAAACATTAATTTCCCAACAGTGACCCGAGCTTCCTCTATACTGCCGTTGGACGCAAGTGCTCTCCAAAGTCCATCTTCTCTCAACGCCAACTCCGACACTCGGATTCCGTCACGAGCCAGACTCATAACAATCTCGGCCAATTCAGTGCTGATGCTACAACTGCGCAAGTCTACTGTGATGGATTCCAGTACAAACACAGCACTCAAGGAAGATTGGTCTCGGTTAATGTATTCCTTCCACTGCATCCGAATCATCCTAACCGTCTCTTGTAATTTTCGAAGATACGTAAGCATATCTTTACTACTGGAGGTCAACCATGAGCCCAACTGCACCGTAATTGGAATTTCAATCTCTGTCAACATAGTACACGACTTCTTGTTGTTCATAGCTAAAACTTTAGCTAGAACTTCCTTGTATTCTGCACTTCGACTGATGTACTGATCCGTTCCACAGAACTTCATGATACCCCTCAAAAGGTGGTAGTCATTGTCCGGTCCATTATCAATGACTGCAAGTTGAAACCGGGGCATCAAAGTTCCTTCATATCCTTCTTCTTGGTTGTCGATCTCCAGATCGGTGCACTGAAGTAGCAATTTCTTCCACAAATTATTGTCCACGTGAGCCACTGCAGCTAACAGTCCCAAAGTCTCACAAACTTCTTGGTATTCTCCGACATTCCAACACTTAAAACCTGGTAATTGCACCTGTATCCCTTCAAAACATTGCCCAGGTGTATCCCCTATCATCCCTTTTACATATCGTAGATGCCAAGAAATACGTTGGCACCAGGACAACAGAAAGTCCCATTTGTGGTTCCAGCTAATCTCCTCCATTCATTAAAGAAATTCCAAAATACGACAGAATTCCTTTGTTATCATCAAAATGGTATTTCTTCTCAGTCAAATACACTTAACCCATGGATGTGTATCCATGTGTACCATGATTGTCGAAATATTGACTGATACAGATTCAATGCGTTGGTAGTCCACAGTCTTTCGGGAGACTCAAAAACTGGTCGAATGCATTTACTGATATGCCTCGAAAGTTTTGGTTAGATCTGGAATCTTGTCGAACTTGTCCAGAAGTAAGAGCTCCTCGATTTCGAAGTTCAGCAGCTATTCGTAAGAGCGCTGAAATTTCCACATAACCTCCAGCTACCGCCTGTGACAACGGTGTCTCTCCTATTGCGTTCTTTATGTTTGGTAATGCACCATTGCTAAGTAGTGCACGTACAACTTCAAGATGTCCTTGGGTAGCTGCAAGAAGTAGCGGGGTATCGCCATTACAGCTTTGAGCATTTCTATTCGCTCCGTGACTCAAAAGCACGTGAACGGCCTCGACTCGACCACGCAGAGCTGCAGTGGACAATGCCGTGTATCCACGCGTACGATTAGGAGCATCAACAAAGGCTCCATTTTCCAGTAAGAGTTTCACGACAACCGCTTGTCCATTCCGAGCTGCGAGCTCTAACGCTCGATTACCATCGCTATTATCAGCTTCGACGTTCGCCCCACGACTCAGTAGCAGTTGAACTATGTCCACGAATCCGCGCTTAGCAGCAGCCATAAGTGGTGTATCTCCTCTCCAATCTGCAGTGTCCGCTGCAGCTCCGCCTACATCCAGCAGTAGCTCACACACAGCTTTATGCCGTTTTACTGCTGCCAAGTACAGCGCCGTGCACCCTTTCTTGCTCTTGATCTCAATAGCGTCCACATCCTGCTGGAAGGACAACGGTATCAGCTCTGCAACGATACAGGTGTGGCCGTGGACTGCTGCATACATGAGCGATGTCAAGCCGTTGACTTGATCACGTGCTGTAGAGTCTGCTCCAGCACCCAGTAGCTCCCGCACAATTTCCAATTGACCATCACCAGCTGCAAGATGAAGAGCTGAAAGACCAGACTTACTCAATAGTTCTAGCCTCGCTTGTCTTGTCCCTAAAAGTTCTACCAGTGCAAGTTGTCCGTTCCTCGAGCTGTACATCAGTGGTGTCATTCCTTCCGTATCCGTCGTATCCACATTGGCACCAGCATTCAGTAGTAGTTGAGCAATGGCTAATCGATCCCATTGTGTCGCAATGCTCAAAGCTGTCTCTCCTTTGGCATTTTGTGTCTCTAGTGAAGCACCGCGACTAATGAAACTCTGTACAATATCCTCATGTCCTTCAAGTGTTGCCAGCATCAAGGGTGTCCAATGGTTCCGATCCGTGCGATCCATTGCAGCCCCAGCATTCAGCAGCAGTTCAACAATTTCCAGCTGCCCGACTGTAGCGGCCACTCGCAGTGCAGTATCTCCCTCCAAGTTTTGAGCATCAACGGAGACGCCTCGGTCCAATAGACTGCGTACATTGTTCGTATGACCTCTTTTGGCTGCTAGAATCAAAGCTGTAGCGTACGTTTTGGAATCTCTCGCATCGACTCGTGGTAGACCTTCTTCTTTCAGTACTCGAAGTACATCCAATTGAGTGCGAGCGATAGCAAGTTGTTGAGAGACTCTACGTTTCTTGGTAGTAGTTGGTCCTTTTGGTATCCCGCAACTAAGCATTGTGTATTTCAGATCCATGTCCATGGATAGAGGTGTCCAGCCATTTCCATTACCGGACATTCTTGATGGTCGCGGATTAAAATGTGAAGTCGACAAACACCTTTGGTCGGTGGTGTACGAGTTTTCATGCAGTCGTGACAGATCAGTGACGATGACTCGAGTCCAGTGACTTGAATGGTTCAGAATGAAGTTGTTCCATGCAGTGAGGGTTAAACACACATCCTTTATATGAGAGTTACGTAAGTAATACTAGATGGAAGCAAACGAACGGTGGGAGCTAACGAAAACATAATTTGTCATCCATGGACTAGCGAATGCAACCTCCGCACGGATGCTAGAAGAATTAGCCTTTATGACAAGTAAGTTTTCCAATCGATGAACATGGGCCAGTCAGTGGATGGATGATAGGTAAATCGGTACAACGTGCAACTAATTTCAGAACTTGACAACTAGTTTGACCGTCTCTCTCTACGTGCGTTGGTTTTCATCGATAAATCCCGTTCTACAAACGTCGTGCCGTACTGTACGCTTTGTAGTGAATGCTTTCAACAAAGCTACGTACGTACGAAGCGCGAAGTGTGAATGGAATCAACACTTTCAACGAAATGAAAATTGGAAATACTGACGAACCCATTTGTTTCTTACATGAGGATCATCACATTAGCAACGTATATCTATCATAGCTGGAAACATACATGAGCTTCGAAAAGCTGCAAAAGAAGAATTAGAAGCAGCGAGGAGGATCACCTGCAATTTATTGCCGCCTTGACGCGCAGACAAGCCGAGCGGGTGTCAAGCGCGAATCGTAGCAAAAAGGCACTGCGTGCATGGTGTAGAGAGTATATATAGTAAACCAGTTTTACACTAGTCAACACCTCTTGATCGCCGGCGCCGATATAGCATACATCATTGTCGGCTAGATAAACTCGCAATGTCGCAATGCCGTGTATAGTAAGCAAGACCAGTCCTAGGTAGGTGCTTACGGGCTCCATGGTACCTCAGATGGTCTTGCTCGCCATAGCATGGATCAGTAACGTATTGACGTTGCTATCACGGGTATGACCTCTTCGATTTCGTTTCTTGCATGAAGTCCGTCATTGTTTATCTAATGGACAAGAATAATCGTGAGTGGTATTTACGGTAGTGCTTGAACTCGGTCAACTGCATTGGGTACGACTAAATCGTGGATATATCGCTGGCTTCAAGCTCGTGGTGTTCCTGGGTGGTATCATATTTGCTCTGGGCTTCCAATGTCCATCGAAGATCATAATGTACAGCTTGTAAAAGTCATAAGAAGCGCATTGCTAGCGCATACAGAGACAGACATTTACGCCGGCTTAGCTTGTGGATTAGTTGTTCATACTATATGTTCTTCATTCGTCAAACTTGCATACGCGGGCGATCGTCAGGAACGATATGCCATCGTAAGCACTGAGGCTGATCCAAGTTTTCACAAACCGTAATGTGTTGGCGTTTGACGTCTTCTCCAGCTACAAATTGCTGTTTGCCGAGATATCAACATTAAATCTGTCATGGGCGGCGGAAGCCAGCGACGAACAAAACGGAAGCTTACTATTGTGCCTACCCACTCGTTACGTCTCGGCTGCCTCCTTTTTCTCCTCTACAGTCACTTTTGTCTCCTCCCTCCGTTTCTCCACGGTCGGTTCTACAACCACTACGTGCTGCGTGTCACTGCTACCAACAATGCTCCTGTCGTCGTTGTCTGCATTTACGGCTTTGCCAGCAGGAACGGCAGACTCATTACTGGTCTCGGCCGTAGCTGCAATAGCTGACGGAGTGTTAGTAGAAATACTAGTATATGGCTCTGAGCCAGCAGCTGCAGTGCTATCTTTCAGCTCAGAAACCTCTTCGACTTCTTCCATCGTTACATCCATATCGTTGCCGCTGCTATTAGGCTCAGCTATAGATTCGGCATCTGTCTCGGAATTTTCGACATTGAATGCAATGACAGGACTACACGTAGCAGCGGCCAAATTCGAAGCGTCGTTATCCGTGTTATCGGGTTTTGTCCTTACTTCCGTGATTATTCCAATTGTGACATCAGAACGTGCGTGTATGGCCTTAATTTCTGCGTTCGGGGCATCAGCTTCAGTGGTTAAGCTAGCATCTTTATCCATGACAACTTTCTCTCTTTCCATACCAAGTTCAGCATCTCCTTTGACACAAAATCCACAGTTATCTGTAGTCTTTGTTTCTGCGTTCGCAGTTTCCGACTTAATTGCTCCGCACACTTCCGTCGTGATTGCTGTGTCCCCTTCCGACTTACTTGCTGCGTCACCTTCCGACTTGGTTGCTGCGTCACCTTCCGACTTATTTGCTGCGTCACCTTCCGACTTATTTGCTGCGTCCCCTTCCGAATTACTTGCTGCGTCCCCTTCCGTCGTGATTGCTGTGTCCTCTTCCGACTTACTTGCTGCGTCACCTTCCGTCCTGATTGCTGTGTCCCCTTCCGACCTACTTGCTGCGTCACTCTTCCGACTTACTTGCTGCGTCACCTTCCGACTTACTTGCTGCGTCACCTTCCGACTTACTTGCTGCGTCACCTTCCAACTTGGTTGCTGCGTCCCCTTCCGACTTACTTGCTGCGTCCCCTTCCGACTTACTTGCTGCACCCCCTTCCGACTTACTTGCTGCACCCCCCTCCGACCTACTTGCTGCGTCCCCTTCCGACTTACTTGCTGCGTCCCCTTCCGTCTTACTTGCTGTGTCCCCTTCCGACCTACTTGCTGCGTCCCCTTCCGTATAAGTACCTTCTAATTTTTGGGTCGAACCTTGCGTTCTGGAATCGACGGTGGTAGAATCAACATGTTCTTTGTGCACGTTTGCAACTTCAGTTGCTATTTTGTCTTTCGTTTTGACATCTGAGGGTAAAATAGCGAACAACTCCTCTCGAACATCAGGTAATTGAGTCAACATGGGCTCGTAAAAGTGACGACATCCAGCAAACACAGGACTACTCCATAAAGCTTCAAATTCTTCCAAAGAAAAGCAGCTGCTACGCAATACACCCAAGGTTTTCTTGAGATACGAAGCAATCATTGCGTCACCACCGGCCGCGGAGCCCCCTTGCTCGACCGTAGCAAATAACGACGACAGCATCATCACTGTTTTCTCATGAAACGCAGGTGTTGGGAAGCTTTGGACTACCCGTTGACGCTTGCGCTTTTTCAATGACGTATCATCCGTGGCAGCAGTGTCGTGCATGTCCTCTACTCGTTCAACTGCTCCTTCAACAAAATGCACAAGAAACCCGGTCTCCTCCTTGGCTGCTTGAATACGTTTCGCCAAAACGCAAACAAAAAAGCCGTCGACGATCTGTTTCCACACTTCCAAAGCTTGCAGCTGTTCGCTGAGTGTCATTGTCACCTCTCCATTTTCAGCAGACGTTGTCCCGACATCATTACCATTGCTGCTGCTGGTACTTGCAGCAGCCAGCTTTACTTGCTCTAACACAACTTCGGTCACTGCATGAAGAAAGACGCGATCACGCAAAAGCGATTCATCCTCAGCTGAAAGCAAATGATGTAACAGCTGCGACCCCGCATCAATCTGACGGTCTACCAGGCATTGTACGGCAAAGGACTTGGCCATGGCGCGAATTGCTGAGCTTGCGCGCAGCACGTTGTCCCACAAGACAGCACTTAAAACATCTTGCTTCACTGTCGAGTCTAAATCAGGCTGCAAGCCGACGGGAAACGCATAGTAAATTCGAAAACTAATCATCGTGCGCAACAAAAGCGGAAGCACGACGCGCATTGTGATTACTTGTGGCGCACGCAATACAAAATCTTGCTTTCGAATCATTCGACGCACGCTAGACGGGTTGCCAATTTGTAAAAGTTGCACAAGTGCACGGCAAATCGAATTATCGGTAGGCAATTCTTTTCTCTGCCAACACACCACTAGGTTTTTCATGAGAGCATCACATATAAGTTGTTTCACAAGCGGATCAGACAAAACTAGTGCCACATCCGCCAGCTGCTCATCGCACAAACCTTCCAGAATCATTCCCGATTGGTCCACATCACCAAAGTCATTAATCGTGACAGTTCCCGAACTCGTGAGCATGCTAACAGCCTCGCTCGTTGGGCCAGTTCCGGTTTTGCGACGCTTTTTAGTGCGGATCCGCTGTGGCTCGCCACGTAAAGCTACAGCATTTCGCTCAATTATTTCAATGCCTCGCTTGCCAATTCGCTTTCCTTCCTTATAAAAGATAGACGTGTCCGGGTTAAAAGTCATACAGTTTCGGATCATGAGGTTGAAATCCAACACAAAACCATCGAGTGTCTTGTACTTGCCGCGCTTGGCTTTTCTCCGCATCGTCGACAAGTCCATGGGATCCTTAACAATCTCCCGATACTTCGGCACGTCATCAGGAACTGGCTCCGCAAATATCAAACGAGCATCAATTTTTGTAATCTTGTCAAGCACTGCAAGAAGTTCATCCACAGGCGGTGGCCCTAATACAACTTCAAAACTCTCTTCTTCCTCCTCTGCACCGCTTTTCTTTCGAAACTTTTTATTAGCTGGCAAGTCGGATGTGCGTAATCGACCAATAAATCCGAGCAATTCATGAAGTTGAGCGATTTCAAGCGTCTGGTTCTTCACCGCTCGATCTAAAAACCAAATGAATTTATGTAACGGATCGGTTCGCAAAAGTGTCGTCGTCTTGTCACGCTGGAGGTTCGCAAGGTCACTGCGCATAGCGCCAAGAAGCGACACATAATCCACATATTCTTTCGGATGATTGTTCGTAGCACTACCAGGAATGCTCGCAGCCATCACATAACCGCGCCAAATCTCCAATGTAGACAGGTATAGCGCCTCTGAGTCACCAAGCATTTCTACTAGCTCCATCAGCGCCGGATTATTACGCCGCCGCTCATCCGGTGAGTACGAAGGTCGTCGTTCATTGCTAAAACCAGACACAGCCGTCAATGACGAGCTAGTAGCATCCGCAGAAGACGGTACGTGACTCGAAACGTTCCACAAACTTCCACCTGCTGATTCATCTAAACTGCGTTTCCTCTTCTGAGTACTAGTTCGCATCGTATTGTTGTTATTTCTCCTCGACAATAAACACTGTGGAGTCACTGATCCCGATGTCGGATGGTTCAAATACCATTCCAGCTGTTCAGTCACATATTCACGCGTGCATTTCTCCACTAGTAGCTGTAGTTCTCTTCTATCCACCTGCAAGATCTTTCTCTTTACATGGACCGGTAACTCGGCTAAAATACGTCGGTTCTCTGTCAATTCACGTAGATACAACTCTGGCGTCTCTTCCTGTTTAGCTAATACAGCAATTGGAATAGATCGCAGCTCACGGAATTCAATGTACGGAAATGTCTGTTCTAATACGCGAGGCAGTTCACTCTGTGGCAAATCTGCAATGCGCAATAACATCTCATTCTTCATCTGATCCAGTAGTGACTGGTACACACTAGAACGTGGTACTTGCAATAGATCCAGTAACTGCATTGCCGGAGTGAATGTCGTCGTTGGTTTCTCCTTTTCTTTACTCTCTTCCTTACGTACAAACAGCTGCGCATGAGCTTCTGCAACGCCATGGGCTGCTTGAAAGTCTCGAATCGCTACTTCAATGTTAGGAGCTGTACTTAGTAGTTCCTTAACAGCAGCGCCGCCTCGTGCGCCGATCCGCAGCTTCTCGGTCACGGATGAAGTGGGTATAAACTGAGGCAGCTTGAGCTTAAGACGCAGCTTCAAGAATTCGCCGCCAGCCTCACTCATGCTGCTGCCTGTCGTTCTATTGAGTCAATATACTGCGAGAAAGGGGGAGGTCTTCAAGTTGGTTGAAGTTCGGACGGACTGACTGGCTTGGGCGACTTGGGCAAGAGAGGGTAAATTCAATACTGACACTCGGCTCTCCAGTGCGGAATGTACAGAGTGAATGTTTAAACTTTATATTTGTAAGATTAGCGAAAACCACGTGAGATTCGTACTTAGCGTGATTCCGCACTGGTCGGCCAGCCACAATTTCATTCGTGGAGAGGACGGAGACGGTCATGGTATCGATCCGAAACGCAACGGTAGGTCAATTAAGGCGTGCCTAAGAGAAGAGAAATGGATTGATGTATGAAATACATGCGTATACGGTCTAACGTGCGAAATCTTGAGCTGTACCACGTGTAACTAGAGGTTGTATCTTGTTGTTAATGTTTCCCCCTCTGTTGTTATATATATTCCTATAGGCAGATGATCTCCTACAAGTGCAAAACTCGAATCTCTGGTGTTTGCCAGAGAATTATCAGATGAAGTACTATTACTATCATATCATGACGTGGCCACAGCTGCTTTATGTGGCTGAAGAACGTGGTGGCAAGATCGTTGGCTACGTGCTGGCCAAAATGTACGTGGAATAGAATATTCCAATTGAGAAAGAAAGGAATGACTTACAAAATCTCTGTGCTGTTATAATGTAGGGAAGAGGAAGCGTCAGTGCCCCATGGCCACATTACATCATTGGCCGTGCTACGCACGCACCGCAAGTGCGGCCTTGCTACAAAGCTCATGCAGGCTGCCCGTATGTTGCTGGAAGTGTTTTTGATCTTGTATGAGACACTTTTGACTGATGTGATGTGGTGCTTTGTGTGATGCAGAGCGTGCTATGGTAGAGAGTTTTGGAGCCGAGTACGTGTCGCTGCACGTCCGTGAGGGTAATGTCGCAGCTATTCACCTGTACCGCATCACACTCAAGTACCAGTACGTTGATATGACTGTCAAAACGAAGGCAATTATTATTCACGTTTATTTTATATTGGGGTATAATTGGACAGGGTGTATGACATTGAAAAGGGATATTATGCTGATGGGGAGGACGCCTATGATATGCGCATGCCGTTTACGGAAAAGTGTCAGCAGGCATTTGCCTCGCAAGTAAACCGGTACAAGAAGGTCCTGGCAGAGAAGGAGGCTAAGGCTGCTGAGGAAGCTGCTGCCTTAATTGCTTGATAGCGTGAGGTGAAGGGGAGGTATCCCACATGGTGGTTGGTCACTGACTGTTAAGATACAATGGTGCTGGATGCGGTAAAAGTAATCGATAGACTATCGTTGATATTTGGCAGCTGACCAGCCTCGTAGTTTCTCACTTGTTCCTGACTTGCCAGCATTTTTGAACATGCACAACATTTTCTATGTTTTTAAAAGGCGCTATGAGGCTATCAGACGTATACTTGCCTCTTGCTGTAAGATTCTTACATATGATAGCCGTTCAGATGATATCATTGACGGCGGAGCATTTTCAAGTGTCTTTGCAGCTCCTGTTCGTAATCATTGTTGTCTTTCTCAACCGTTTGTGCCCACTTCGTTTAGTTGATACAAGTGCATCGTTTGTTTGCCGAGGAGTCAAAAGCTACTACCATCTCGCTTGCAATGTAGTTGAGTGCTGTCGCTGGAAGTCCAGGACTGTCTTGAGATCCTCTGCCCATTTTGTGCTTCCCACAAAGTAGAGCAGTCTAAACATTGCGCCAGACACACATATATCGCCACCTGTTTGCTCTCATAGTTGTCACACATGAGGCAAGTAAAACTGGTAAAGTCTTGAATTCCAGCGATGTTCATCATAATATTATTTGTACTGGTAGCTCTTGAATACTATCTACGAAAACAATAAGCAAGCAAGAAGTTGAGCTTCACTTAATCTCACCGTCATCCACCAGGTGACACACATACATCAAATTGACACCTCAGACTATAGTTGAAGATTTTTGCAATACAGCATCGACTTCACTGAGCTTGAGACGCTCCTGCACACATCAAAACTACTGCTCGCGCTGGGATGGGGTGCTATTTCAGCACAGTAAATAAGGTTGGAATCGAACTCAATCAAAACTTGACCGGAGCAACGGGCAGTCCAGAGAATCAACAGACATCGGAGAAGAAGCTTCAAGCATAGGTATAAACTCCTCGCTCATCTTGTAACACTCGAAACTTTCTTCTTCATCGTCTTCCTCCTCAAATAAAACGTTCATACTTTCGCGACCCAAAAGTGTCGTGATTGTCGGACGAAACTGCATTCGTGGCGAATTCAGAACGAGGTCATCGCCATAGTCGTCCTCATCTTCAAAATCATCGTCACTTTCATCATCAGACATGGACTGTGAAACTTCCTTAATCCCCGAAAGCTGCATCTTTCGCTGCTCCATCTGCCACTGTTGTCTTTGCTGCTCACGTGCCTTCTCCAAATTGACCTCATCATTTTCATAGTCACTTTCACTATCGTTAAAGCTATACCGCGAGCTTTCACGCGGGTCAATCGTACTCGACGCTGCGCTTGACAACACATAAGACGCAGTCCCGCTGTTTACCGACTTTTCCCGCTTATCCACGGAGCCCCACTCATCATCATCGTCGTCGTCGTCGTCAAAATCCATCCGAGAACTTTCACGAGCGTCTACGGAGCTTTCAAGAGTGCTTGATACCACACTCGATTTTGTGTGATTACCTATCGAGGAATCAATTGACTTCTCTCCGTTATCATACTCGTCATAGAATTCATCGTCGTCATCAAATTCATACTCGTCATCATCAAATTCATCGTCGTCATCATCATCATCTTCTTGAGTAACCGGTTGCTTTGGTGCTCGTGACGGTCTTGATTCCCTAGACGTTCGTAAAATTTCAGATATTGACATTCTCGTGCGCTCTACAATCGCAAACACAACCACTACACGTCAGACACTATCCACCAGTAGATAGCAAACAAAAAGTATCTATCAACGTCACTTACCCAATTCTGATCTTCTCATCGTGCCGCGGCGTTCGTACGACGTATCCAATCCGCTCGCAACTAAGACTGATGGCACAGGCTTGCCCGCTGTCTGTCCCCTTCCTATAGGACTCGAATCAGCCAACGTCGAGCTATCTTCTTTCGATGCTCTATTAGGTCGTGGAGAGACGACAGGGGAGATCGACACATCACTTGCAGGTTCCGAGTCGTCAATGGACTCGTTCGACGTGGCACTATTGTTCCTAGTCAAAGCAAGACGCTTCTGGTCATCGTCCTTGTCACTAGCCGATCGGTTGCTACCGCTACTACTTCCTAGAGGTGTCATGATCACGGGTCGTCCGTCAAAATGCCGCGCAGATCGATAATACTTGTGGTCACGTCTCGACATTTTTTTGGACCGTTTAGCAATATCTTCAAAAGTTTCTTCTCCAGGGAGACTCAAATAAGTGTCACTATTAGTCTGGTTTCGTCCTCGTGTAGTCGAGTTGTTGTCCTGTAATCTCGCAATCGAAGGGTCCACAAGTCTCAATTGCAGTCGAATCCGTCCTGCATCCTTTTTTCCCTGTCTCAACTCAATCCATCGATCAATTGTCGTATTTCTTAATCCCATCAAATGTTTCAACGAAACAGAGCACGCTCCAATAGCAGGAGACGACATGAGTCTTGCTGACTTGACTCGAATACTCAGCATGGCTTCGTTCAAATCAAGTACCGGAATATCAAACTTTTCGTTCCAAACAGGATCGGATCGTTTTCCTTTTTGTACCTTTGTCTTCAAAACTCTCATCTTGTTGTTCTTGTCACTTAAATTTCCTTCGGTTGATGATGTAGAGGGTAAAGGTGTCGTTGAAAGTTGTGCCGTATTCATTCGACTACTACCAAATGAAGACTGTAGCAACCCTCCAATACTATGTGACGATGTTGATGATGACAATTTCTGTTTTTGCCGAGCAAAGGTGCCACTACCCGACACCATTTCATTGCTCCCTATATAAAGTTTACAGTACGTGCCATGACTTGACACATGACGAAGTCCTTCAGCCGAATAAACACGTAAAAGTAGACGACAGGAAGGCAATAAATGAGTAAAATATGACGAAGAAGATGCCGATCGTTCCTCCATTGCCGACGATGAAGAAATTAACGGGCCCATACAAAATTTATTTTTCAACCGTGAACAATCAATCGGCCGTAAACTGCACCACGCAACGCAATACTGACCTCGCTCTCTTTATAGAAACGTAAGACTGATGATCTGCCTTGGAGTGTCTACGTTTTTTTTCTGAGGTTGGCTTGTCTATGCACGAAACACGTCCGCTCTCTGGTCTAGAGGTTTTTGTTCCATAGGTGAATCAAGAGGAATAGGGTAGGGCCATACAAAGAGTCAATGAAATTGGACGTACCGTTTGCCGCCGATATTATTAGAACGTGAGACTATTATTACAACAGACGGTAGATAAGTTTTTTTTTGACAAGACAATCCCTGCCACTCTGTGGACAGAGATGCTATTTTTACGCTAAGTTGTGATGCAGCCGTTGGTTTGTAAGTTTCTATAACATGGTGCATGATTTCATGGGGTAAAAGAAGGCTGGTCGTCTTGTTACAGTATTCGACAGGTTTAGAATACTTTGATCAATATCAAAGTGGAAAATCAAGTGCCCGAGAAAGTTTCTACATGTGCTAATGCGACTTTTCCTGCTGCATTTTCTACTAATGCGACCAGTGTTGACCGAACGAAACGACTGGATATTCTCGGCGTGTGCTGACGAGATCATCATTCGATCGACGCAGTAATGTACTGGCGTGTGTTTGAGAAATATGTCGAGACTTTCACTCACTTGTGTAGGAGCCAAAGAACTGGCACCTGAACGAGTACGTTTCAAACTGTAGCCATATGATAGACCTACGACACATCCAAACCAACGACAGAAGTGGCATCATCTTTCCAATCGATTCACTTGTACAACGTATGACAAGAAAAGACTAGTCGCGGATTGTCATCAAATCCTGTCAAATCCGATTGCATCCTTTCAATGGCCAACAACGATGTCGTGAAGCAAGTGCCGTACTGTATCGTATGTCGCCATTCGATCACTATGAAATGGCGCAAGCACGTCTTTTCTCATGGCCATCAGAAAGCCGCAAACGAGTTCCTTCACGTACAATTGAACCGGCTTCAAAGTATTTGGAAACCTGTCACGTTCAAGTCTTTGGATCACTTTTACTGTGTATTTTGTGATTTGGCATTGGTCTCAGCTGACGCATTGGCCCATTTTGCAAGTAAATTGCATCGAAAACGAGTCCAAGCATTTTGTCGACATTATCGATGTGATGTGGATCGACAGATACGGTCTCAGCTCTCGCTGCAAGAGGTACAACTGCAAGAAGTACGTTGGCTGAGACTTTTTTATATATGGACCTTATAGTTTTTTTATATTTTCTGGTCGTGTGAGTAGTTTGAAAGGAGATTAAACGCAAGTAAAGTGACTGATCAAGTGGAAAGGAACGAGAAGGATGAGGAGGTGAAACATGCAGCAAATGAACGAGTGGAAGTTTTTCTATCGTCAGCTGCTTCTAGATTACAAGAAGTACAGGAGGGAGGGAGAGCTTTTAAGGAAATGTCTGATGTAGCGGTAACGACGGAAAGTGAACAGGAAAGTTTGCTGGGGCCACAACGAGCGCGTGTGAAATGTGGCAAGACGGTCACATCGTCAGAAGGAATATTGCAGAACTGCTTTGGACGACATGAAGGCAAGCGCGTGTGGGGTGGCGGTATTGTGAAACTACGAAAAGCCGAGTGGATATTGTGGCCGATTGATCAATTGGTAAAGGAGGAGCAGGCGGACCAGCCAGATATGCAGCAGACTGGGCAAGAGGGTATGTCTTTTACCCATCGAGTGACGGAGATCGCGCAGGGTGAAGGATTAAGCTCCGTGAAACCAGTGTCATGGGTTGCTTGTGTGGGAAACGTACATACTGCAGCTGTGCCGCCTTGGATGGTGCAAACGGAAGAGGAGTACAAGAAGTGCAACCAAAGAAAACAAGCAGTCCGCTTTCCGGTAGTGGCGACCGGATTGACGAACAAGGCAGACAAGAAGAGGAGAGACGTATTTTCAGAGCTTCAGTCGAAATCGGAATATGGTAAAGACTGGCTGCCCAATTTTGGTGGGGTTTGGCAAGAGGGCCCTCGTTTCAAGACGAAGCAAGCATTCAGGAAAGCAGCAAATGTAGCAAAACCGTCACGCGATCGTGATCGTGCTCGGCAATCAAATTTCAGTCTGTCGCAGTTACAAGTACAAACTCTGCTTCAACGAGTATCACCTGCAAATTCTCAAGCGCCTCAGTTAACAGCAGGAGTTCAGAACTCTGTTCCGGAACTAAAACGAGAGGTGCCAAGCTTGTCACCCTTCGAAAGTAAAGAAAACGAGAGCAAGATAGTAAATCCGCTTATCGCGAAGAAGCAGCTGCTGCTGGCTCAAAAAGAGAGCCTGCGAGCAAAGATGGCGGCAAAGAAGCGGCATAATTGATATCCTGTTTTCTTGTATCATACCGTTGACCACATCCGCTTACTTGCAGCCTCAAAATGCGCGTTCTTTTCCGTGCGAAGGTTCATCGACGCCGCGAGCAGATCGCATAACTCGGCCATGTTCATTTGCGATGGCCCACGCTTGACAAGACCCCCGTCAAACAAGACAGGGTTGTCGTTTATCTTTACCTTGCACGGGATGGATAACACGTAGCGTGCCAAGCGAGCTAGAAAAGGATACTTCATGCGCATATTCTGCCACCACTCTAAGGGGTTGGCACGCAAGATGATACGCCCTTCTTCCTGGAAGAACGACACCTCCACTTCGAGCAAGTTGCTAGATTGTGTCATTTCTAACGAGGATTTCGTGGAGCTCAGCAGCATTTCTTCTTTAGCACAAGATGTCAGTTTTGCCTGAAGGTCGTCCCACAAGTCGGTGCCTTTGCCGATACTATTCTCGTCCAAGTGACAGCTGTCTTCTCCCAATGCGGTGGAGTTCTCTCTGAGATCGTTATCGTTGTCCTTTTCTTTGGTTCCAGCCATGTTTGCCGCCTCCGTTTTGACAATTTCCCAAAACTCTTGTTGTGGTAGAGAACCCTTGACGATAAACGACCGTGTCCGCGGATCCAATATCGTAGCAGACCACAAGAGATTGAACGTTTGAAGCTTTTCCGTACTCCAGCTAGCTTCTGGAACCGAAAATAGGTGCCCGAAACATGCTAGCAAGCTCGAGAATGCCAAATCCCTGAATGCCTCGATGTCCTCTGGTAATTCTACCATAGCCTCTGCAGCACTCTTCTTAGCTAAATCATTGTAAGACTCACCGGTGACTCTGGTATTGACTGGGTGCAAACCGCGTATTTTTTCGATCAGTGTAAACACAGAAGGCACGATTAGCGAAGAAATGACATACGGCTCACCGTCAAGCTTGACAGTGGCTTCGGCAAATGGCTTCAGTATTACCGTAAGATAGCAAACACGAGACCACTCGTACGCTGATAAGGATGATAGCTGGACTAGTTTGGAATAGTCAGAATCATTGTCCTTATGCATGAAGAAATACTTCTTGAGTGGCGACATCATATCCTCAACAAGTGCCAACACAGAATATATCTGACCCACCGATATTGTCATCTCTCGAAGGCGGTCGATGAACAAGCGCTCGTAGGAAGCAATGCTCATACTGCATTGCTCCAATGCCAACCTTCGTAACACCTTTCGTGATCGTGATGATTGTTTAAAATGTGCAAGCAGATACATCACCTTATTCATGAGATCACGATACGTATGTCCCGTGAGACTTGCTGGCAGCTCTTCAATAATACTGGATGCAGTCTCCACTGCAAGTATACTGTCCAAATCATCAATTGACGATCCAGCCGCAACTACAGCGGATGTGCTTTCGATGTACTCGCCCTTATCCAAGCGTCGATTTTGGAAACCCACCGAACTAGAGGCAGCTGGAGTTTCTAACACGTCATTAGCAAGACAATAGCTCCCAGAGATGCGGACCCCATTAATGGTGGCAAGCACAATGTTTTGCAGAACTGTAGGGACACTCTCCAAAGAACGCAATTTGTGATCCACAGCAAAGGACTGATACCCGCAGCATGGTGGCTCCACTGCGAGAATTTCTGGCATGTATTTGCAGGCAACAACGCATTTCGCAGCTTTCTTCAGCTCTTCATCTCCAGCAAGCATTGCTGCAATTGATATTTCTTGTCGTGGACAGCAGCTTCCAATCGAAGAAACGTGTAAACACCTACGGAAGGGGTTGAAGTCTTGGTCCAGTCCGACTGCGAAAAGTGCGACAAAAACCATCTCGTTATCACTAGAATGTGTGCAATTGACTGTAGATGCCACAGAAGTTGCAACTGCCGGTTCTACCCGTTGGCTATCTGAGAATCTCCATTCAGAAAACATAAGATGTGAGAAATCTGTCGTTTTCATCTGCATGGCAGTCCGCACCTTCACCTCTGCAGCCATTTTCTTGACGTATCCCGACACAATTTCCTTACTAAACACCGTCAAGTCATTGGCGTCATCAATCGACCCACCCGTATATCCCAAACATTCCACCATAAAATGACGAAACCCATGGCTTGAACACAACTCGAATGGCAGCATCTCATAAAGACAGAGATACGCCATTGCTTCAAGAACTTTTTCTACATTTAATTTTCCAGTCATTACTGCATTAGAATGTCCAGTAATAGTTGCTCCAATCCGTTTAAATTCTTGATGTGATAAGACCCCATTCAACTGCTGATCTGAAGGTAGATACTCTCCTCGTTTGGCCTTTTTAACTGGCATCTGCCTATCAATCAATGACTGTCCAGTAACAGCATCGGACTCACTAGTTAAAACCATGGCATCTGCTCCACTAAATGGCTTGATTTTTTTCTTTCTTCCTCTTTTTCGGATATTCATTCCATGCATTTGTACACTTTTCTTCTCACTTGCATGTTTTTCATACACGTTTGGATGATTTTCTTTTAAATGTCGCCATAGATTGGACGTCACACTTTTACTGAATCGGACATATGTTTTACGGTCCAATTTGCCTTGTTCTTTACATAATTGACACTTGGCAATGGATGATTCTTCTCGTTTCTTGGTATGAAACCCTTCTTCAACTTCATACCATCGATAGACGGCTGATATGATATTATATCCTTTTGTTTTAGCTTTTGTATCAGTTGTAATAGTATTACTTGGAATAGTATTACTTGAAGTGATACTATTAGTAATAGTATTAGATTTGGATAGTAATAATTCATCGGTTGTAGTATTACTATTTGTGTCGACGGATTCAACTGTCGAATCTTCCATGGTATTGTTTAGTAATGTCAGAGAATTATCCTCGTCTTTAGAGCTTTCGAGTGTCAAAACCACATTGGGCTCTGAATTTATGTAGAGATCGGCTTTTGAAGTGTTCATTGCGCTGAATTGCACACTAGACAAAAGCGATTCAATGGTGATTTCACCCCCAAATGAATTGATCTCGATACACAATTGACATAAGAGTTTAATTGTGTGGTACACTTAGGCAAAGATTATAAACGGTTTCTGTGTTTTATTAAGATTTATTGAGTTATACGTAAGAAGAAGCGGTAATGTATACGCTTATTTTTAGCGCTTTCATAATTTAAAAAAATTCAGGTGTTCCTCTTACCTTGCTACTAAGCTCGTAAGGCGTGCCAAAACGCCTAAATTTTGATTTCGAGGCTTTAAATTAATGACTACGGGTATGCATTCATGGCCGAATATGAATTTTGGTCTAAATACTTGAAGCGGGAGGCGGAGCCCGTCAAGATGGGATTTGTGACTTTGCGGGACTTGATTTGCCACTTTAGAGAATCGTTATTCACGTCTGTTGACTATTTACAAGGCAGGTTGTTTTTAGTTCATTTCTTAACAAATTTAACTTTTTATTACAGATTATCAGGGATACCTGCAGCAACACAGGTGGAGCAGGAATAAAGGTGACTATGGCAAAGTATAAATTGTCACATAGGGTAATTCATTGTGATATGCAATTAGGCCTTTTTACTTGTTATAAATCCTGCTAACTGACTTGCATGCCAGCTTGACTGGCTATCTTGTGCTGCTGATGTTCAAAGTGTTGGCAAGATGCGTGTTGCGAGAAGGAAGCGGTAGGTTAACAATAAGATTCTGTATTGATACTTACTAGTTATCTCTTCTGTCTGCCTCCTAGACACTCGTTCTCCTAAATGTCTGTGCTCCAACCGCCTCAACGACAGATGGCTGCTGGCCAACATGTCTGCTACCATCTTGCACTGACTATCTCTGACCGGATTGACGGCTGGCGCTAATCAAACTCATAATCTTCAGCATCAACTTCCAACACTCCTCCTCGATTACGCCTCCGTTCTTCCCTTACTCAACCCTCCAACGTCCTTTAACACCCTTGATCGTTCTTTATCTTTCCTTACATGATGTGCACGAGCGCGCGCAGTGTCGAGAGCTTCGTCGCGTCCAACGCCTTCGTGAGGAGGTCTGCGAGCATCTGCTTTGACCTGACGTAGCTCGCCACGACAATGCCGCGACGCGAGTAGTCGCACAGGAACTTGAGGCGCACATCCACGTGTTTCGCCTTCAGCGACGATGTCTCGCCCGCGATCTGCGCGATTGCCGCTTGGTTGTCCACTCGCAACTGCATCGGGAGTTTGGGCTCCACGCCCACTTCGCGCAACATCTCACGCAGGCCGAGCAGCTCGCGCGCGACCTCACATCGCCGCAACAAACTCCGCCTCCATCGTCGACAGGGATACGCCTCCCTGCTTCCGCGCACCCCAGCTGACGGCCATCCCGTTCAGCATCACGATGCCACCCGTCATTGACTTCCTCTCCGTCTTGTCGGCGGCAAAATCCGCGTCGCTAAACGCTTCCAGGTACATCACCGCACCCGAATTGTCTTCAAGAATAATCGCGACCTTGAGCGCCGCCGTACCCTTGAGGTATCGCGCGACGCGTTTCGCCAGCTTCCAGTCTGCCAGTCGAGGCGCGTGTGCTCGTCTCGTGACCTTGTGCACCGCAAATGCTATGTCGGGGCGCGTGCAACGCGCCACCCAGAGCAGCGAGCCAACCAGCGACTGGAACTGGCGCACTGTCGGTCCTGGTCGCGCGCTTGGCGTCCCAAGAAGATCCGCATCGCCCTCCTTCAGCTCGTAGAAGCTGTCGTAGATCGGCGTCCACGTCGAGTTGGCGTCGGCGAGCCCGTTGTCGCGCAGGAGGTCTCCGATGGCCTCCTCCTGATCGAGCGTGTACCCGCGCTGACCATTGTGCGTCACGCGCATGCCCAGAAACTTGCTAACCCGCCCCAGGTCCTTAATCGACAACGGAGCAAGGCTTTCGAAGAACCGCTCGACCGCTGCCGCGCTCGTCCTTGTCGCGAGGAGATCGTCGACATACACGCCGACCACGACGAGGTCGTCGCCGTCGCGCTTCCAGTAGAAGCACATGTCGCTCTCGCACCGCGTGAAACCAGCAACAGTGAGCTTCGAGTGCAGCAGCTGGCTCCATAGCCGGCCTGCCTGCTTGAGCCCATACAGGCTCTTTCTCAGCTCCAGCACCAGCTCACTCGCGTTCGCAGCGCCATGCGCTCGCAGCGTCTCCTCCGATACCGGCATGCCGCGCGGCATCTGAAGGAAGATGCGGAGGCGTGGCTCCTTGTCGGCTTTGACGTAGGCGTTGGGGATGTCGCCGTGCTTGGCAGGCACCCCCCACGTCGCCGCAAGCGCCAGGATCACTTTGACTGTCGACAGGTCCATCACGGCAGCGAAGGTGAGCGTGTAGTCGACGCCGAGCACCTGCTCGTTGCCGCACGCCACCAATCTCGTCTTCAGCCGCTCGAGGTCGCCCTGCGCATCCGTCTTGGTCTTGTAGACCCATTTGGTGTGCAACGCGTGCGTCCCTGGCGTTCGCTTTGTGATTGTCAGACGTCGTTGGCCTCAAGCGCGGCAATCTCCTCTTGCATAACCTTCTCCCACTCTTCGCGCTTGACGCTGCGCATCGCCTGTCCGTAGTTAAGCGGATCGTGCTCAAAAACAGCGTTTACGACCTCCGCTCGCGACTGCCTCCTCCTGACGAGCAGCCGCTTCTGCGCGTTTTGACGCACCGCGTGTTCCATGCGCCGCCCGCGTCCATCGCTTTCCTCTCTTCTTCCGCGTCGCGCTGCTTCCCTCTGCACGACCATCGTTCACCGCTGCTGCTGCTGGTATGTTCGACTCTTCCAGGTCGACGGCTCGATCGCCGACGTCCATCGCGCGCTGAAGTTGCGCTTTTGCGCCTCCGTCAACGTCTTGATGTTCTTGATGTGCTGCGTGACGACCACTTTGTTGTCACGCGGTAGTAGCACCTTGTAGCCCTTGGTTTCTTCGCTGACGCCGACAATGATGGCGCGTTTCGAGCGCTGCAGCAACGAGTTCTTGCCCGGGTCCCTGTACACTGTAAACATTCTGGTTGTCGCACGGGGAGCCGAAGATGACGATTCCGCGCAGATCCGGCGTCTTTCCCGTCAGAACCTCGAGTGGTGACGCTCTCTTTGCGTTTGCTCGCGTGGGGCTCCGGTTGAGGATGTGCACGGCGTATTGCACCGAGTCTCCCCAGAACGTCAGTGGCAGCGCGCAGGCAAACATCATACTACGCGCGAGGTTCAGCACTGTGCGGTGCATTCGTTCCGCCTTGCCGTTTGAAGCTTGGTTGCGCGCCTCCGACACTTGGCGAGCGACACCCGTGCGCTCGCAGAATAGGTCCACGCTGGCGTATTCGCCGCCGCTATCAGTGCGGAGCACGTGAATCTTGAATCCGAAGAGCTTCTCGAAGTGAACTAGGAATGCCTCAAATTGATTCGCCGCAGCGTCCTTTGTGCGCGCGAGGAAGACTCGGCAGTAGTTGCTCTTGTGATCAATGAAGTTCACAAGGTAACGATTGCCGAGCCGATCCTGCGGCGTCATGGGACCCTTGAGGTCCGAGCAGATGACGCCGCCGATGCGATCGATGGGCGAGTGCGCGCCGCTGTCCTGTTGCGACTGCGCGTTGCGCGTCTGCTTGCCCTCGAGGCACGACACGCACGCCATGCGTTTGTTGCTGCTCAGTCGAATGCCCGATGCCGGGTCTCCGCCATGCGTTCGATCGTGTCGAATGCGAGGTGGCCGAGTCGCTGGTGCCAATGCAACAGCGAGGCTTCGTGCGGCTCGTCGGCGGTGGTTTCCGTGGCATGCGGTTCGAGCGCCGCCATGATCGCGTCGCCGTCTGCACCCTCCTTGTCTTGCGAGGCCCTCGTCACGACATACAGCACGTTACTGTCGATCACGACATCGAACGCGACTGCACCATCGCTGCGCCGAGCGAGCGAGCTCTCGTCGCCGTCGTGCACGAGGGCAAACCCTTTTTTTCTCGAGCTTGCCGTACGACACAATGTTCTTTGACAGTCGCGGAGTCAGGTACACGTCCGTAAGCGTCACGACAGCCTTCGCGCCACGAGCGAGAACCTCGAGGCGCACGCTGCCGACACGCGTCGGGTGAAGCGACTCGCCGTCTGCCATTGCGATCTCGTGTCTGCAAGCCGTCGAGTTGAGTAGCAGTGAATCGTCGTTGACGAGATGCCGGCTCGCGCCACTGTCGAGGATCCAGTCTCCTCGGTCGGCTCCCGTGGCATCGGTCGCCGCAAGCACGAAGCCACGCGTGCCGTCCGTGGCTCGTGCTCCGTCGCTCGTTGCAAGCACGAATCCGCATGAGTCGTCCATGGCTCGCGCTCCGTCTCTTGCATTGCTCGCTGCTGTGTCCTTGCCGCGCGAGCTCTTCTTTTTCCTGTTGCGCTTCTTTGTGGGCACAACACGCTTCTC